AAACCAGCCCAGTCCTCAACAGAATGCAGTCGTGATTCATCATCCCACATCCCCACCAATTGCTTCTATCAGTAGTGAAAACACAGAAAAGTCTCTGGAGCAACCCTCCTCTCTTGAGAGTGTCCGAGCCAGGCTTCTGTGGGCAGCTAGGTCACAAGCAACACACATTTGTACCCCAGACATGGGAAAATGTGGCAATGCCTTTGAGCATGCACAAAGTGCTTCCTCCTGCATAACCACATAGACGTAGAAAGAAAGGGAGGTTGTCGTTTTAGGGCAAAGGATTTTAACTTCCAGGGAACAACCCTTTTCTCATTATTATTCTTTTTTTAATGAAATCTGAGCCTGTAGTTTTCAGCAGGAATTGTTGTGGGCTGGTGAGCATTGCAGCACACCTGGGAACATGAGGAATGGGCTGTATTAAGGTTTGTGCAATCTATTTTGTTTTCTCTATTTGTCTTTTCATTTAAACCTCACCTATCCCTCCAAGGAGCTCAAGCATGTGTGACCCCACACCCCATTTTATCCTCCCTGCTGAGAGGCAGTGATTTCCTCGAGGTTACCCAAGGAGCTTCATGGCTGAGTAATGGTTCTGAACCAAGTCCTAGTCCAACAGTCTAACCAATGTACCTCACCAACTCTAGGTCCGCACAATGTCCACAAACAGGGGCAAGAACCCAAATGGTGGCTCTGAGGGCAGCGCAAATTACCAATGACATCCCATGAGACATAAGAACATAACAATCTGCCTTTATGCAGACTCGGACCATTGTTCCATCTAGACTAGCACTTGTCAACACTGACTTGCAGGCAGCAGGTCTCCAGGGTTTCAGCAGGAGTCTCTCCTAGCCCTATGCGGAGTTGCCAGCGAGGACTGAACCTCGGAATATCTGCTTGCAAGCAGATGCTCTGCCACTGAGATAGAGCCCTTCCTGGCATATGCAGATACAAATCTATATCTGACTTTCTGCAGATTGGGGATTCTAACTGCTGAACTCAGAGCTGAGGTGAGTCTTTTTGTTTGCCCTCATTAAGCAATTAGGAGTCAGAAACCTTTGTCAGTATGCTGCAAATAATCTATATATTGTATCTTAACGTATATCTGCCCAGCCCTGGTGTATGAGCAGAGCAAAGACTACCGTAAATATCAGCAAAGATCAAGGTAGGGCAGGACAGTCTAAGGAGTGTTTCAACCACACAACCTTCATGCTGGATTGGAGTTGCCAACTCTTCTTTTTTTTTAACTGGACACTGCCTTGTTTACCCATAGCCTAAACCAGCTTTCATAGCAGGTCATTAATAAATGTGAAAAGTGACAGAGAAAAAGCACCTGTCCTACCTATAGATGATGGAGCAAAATGGTTTTCTCTTACCCCAAACTCTACTTGAGCCTCAACCAAAGGGTTCATACTAGAAGGAAATCCATGATGTCTATTTTCTAACTCCAACGCCAGCTATTGTAGGGAGAGTGCTCTCGCACTGAAGTCCTGAGGCTGGCCTTCCGTAAGCATCTGTGATAACAGGATGCTGGATTATATGGTCTCATCAGGGCGAATGGTAAAGGGGATGGTGTCACTGAGGTGCCAGAGAATTCTGATCAAAGCAGAAATGGAAGAAGAAATTGCTATTGTTTGCTTATTTGTCCCATATCCAGAACAGAAATCGACCCAGCAAATACAATCAGAATTTGCTGCTGCTGCTGCTTTCAATCGGCAGCAGTTGATTGTGCTTTCCTTCCGTTTGCATTGAGCTTCTGTTGCGTTGAAATCAACATTAGAATGACAATGTAAGTTATGTCATTTGCATAATTACTTGCATTAGTTACACAATTTCACCACAGTGGACACTGCGACAAAGAACTTTGTTTTTGGCAAATACGGCTGGCACGCTAATATTTGGTACAACAAAGCTGGAATATGTAAAAGTTTTGCCATGTTATTAGAAAAAACATAATTAGGGTATGGGAAAAATAAATATATATATATTAGAGACCAAAACACCAAGGTGGCGATCCCCAAAAGAAGCAGAGACAAGGAAAAAAATGAATATGAGTGACAACTGGGGAACCTATAATGAATTGTTTGACTTTTCAGAAGGAGAGCCAAAAATGGGGAAAATGAAGAGGTTAAAGAATATGTATCGGACTGGCTAAACTATCACCAAATCAATTCAAAATCTAAGGTAGATAAGAAATTGGGATTTGCATGGAATTGGCGGAAATGACTGGCAGAATCCGAGACCAGGGAGAAGAGTCGGTGGAAGAAGATTGGAAGAAATTTAAAGACTACTTACAGAAATATTGTAAAATTAATGAATGTTAGAATGATGTTGGATTGAAGTTAAGTGGTTTCTAGCTGTAATGGTATAAAAGAATATGGAAAAATTGGTTTTTAATATGTAAAAATTTAATGTTATAATATATCAAGATTAAAGATCAGGATTAAAAAGGAGGGAAAGGAATCGCTGGACTAACAAATTGAATTGGAATACAAAAGAGGGAGGTATGAGGAGGTCCGTGAAACAAGTAAATGTAAGAGAAGTGATGAAAAGATGGAATTGTTTTTAATTGTTTTTTCTTTTTTGTACTTTGTATTTTTTCTTTTTTATTGTTATTTTTCTTATTAATGTAATCATCTTCTTTTGAAATTTTAATAAATATCATTTAAAAAAAAAAGAAATTGGGATTTGCAGAAAAACCATCAGAATTCAAAAAAGAAATATTAAGATCTAGAGTTTAAAAATCATCTGAAATGTATAGGATATTACTTGACTGGGAAACGAAAGAAGAACTTGTGAAATCCTCTATGATCAAATGGGAACAAGATGTGGGTCATCATATTGATTTGAATTTGTGGGAACAATTGTGGAAAACAAATTTAAAATTCACTGCTAGTAACGCTTTAAAAAAAAGAACTACAGTACTTAAAAATGATCCATATGTGGTATTTGACACCAAGTAAACAAGCCAAAATATTTAGATCAAAAAGTGACCTATGTTGGAAGCGCAAAGAAACAACCGGCACATTTTACCATTCATGGTGGTCTTGTGGAATAATAAAATAATTTTGGGAGATGATATATAACAAGCTTAAGAAAATGTTTAGAACGTTCCCCCCCCCCCCCCAAAAAAAACAACCCAGAAGCTTTCCTTCTGGGAATAATAACAACAGAAACCCCCCAAAATCTAATTATTCTATGGATATATATGACCACAGCTGCCTGAATTCTGGTACCACAAAAGTGGAGAACAGATGCAGTACCATCGCGAGAAGAGTGGCACCTTAAAATATTATAATATATAGAACTGACCAGCATGACAAATAGATTAAGAACTAAAAATGCTAAGAATTTAAAAAGAGGAGAGGACACAGTTGAAAAGATGGCAGATAGGAAACCACAGAAAGAGTGGAAGGGGAGCAAAAGTTAAGGTTTATAAGAGTCAAATAAATTGGAGGGAAAAGTTATGATTCCATTAATATTCATATACAGTGGTATCTTGGTTTAAGAACAGTCTAGTTTAAGAATGATTCAGTTTACAAACTCTGCAAAAAGGAAGTAGTGTTCCACTTAGTGAACTTTACCTTGGTCTATAAGAACGGAATCTGAACGGTGGAAGGGCACCGGCTGCGGGAGGCCTCATTAGGGAAAGCTCGCCTCGGTTTAAGAATGGTGTCGGTTTAAGAAGGGACTTCCGGAACCATTAAGTTCATAAACCGAGGTACCACTGTATATATGTCTTATATTTAAGTTTTTATTATTATTATCATCCTGTGTATGACTGTAACACAGTATGTGTTGATGGATGAATGAATGAACGGATGATGATATGATAGAAAAGCAAATAAAAAACTATATGTTAAAAAACAAAACATTGCTTTTTGGCAGAAGAACTGCAGCAGAATGGAAATCGTGCTGCATCTGGCAGGGAGGAACAGAAAACATCACAGAGACACAGAATTCATAGTGGTCCATTTATGAAGCTTCCCCTACCCCCAAAGGGAAGTCAGGAAGTTCACACATGACCATACAGGGTGTTAAGATCTACCAATTTGTCCAAGTCCTTGGAACATAGTCAATTGTGACATTTTGTACCAGAGGACTCAATTACTGTCATGCTGGTTTGACTGTTTTTATTATGTTTTGTTTGTTTGTTTGTTTGTTTGCTTGCTTGCTTGCTTGCTTGCTTGCTAGCCACACTGGACTCTCTTCTAGGAAAAATGATAGGTTATAAATCTGATACCTAGTTGTCAGTCCAAAATCGACTAAATCCAGATTGCTTAGGGAGTAATAATTGTGCTAACTTACTGATTAGCTACTAACAGTCTTCCCAGATGACCAGCTTATTGAGCATTCATTCTGATTTGTTTGTGGGGAGATAAGACAATGTGGGCTATTTAATGAGAACTCACTTGCATATTTTTTGAGGGGAGGCTAGACAGAGCTGCATCAAAGCTAGTGTTATCCCACACTTGACAGTATATTTTCACAGTGTGTTTCTTATTGCAAAATCTCCAATCTTTTGGGGTGGCAGGTTTGTAGAGCAAGAGCTCCAAATCATCTTTGATTGCACAACCAACATTTTGACAGTGTGTGAGTGAATCCCACCGGAAAATAGTGACAGTCTGGGAGCCCCAAATCTAAGTGAATAAATATCAGCAGAATATTCCTGCATTGGCTGGGGATGGAAGTAAATTGCCTTTGAGGTCCCTTCCAGCCACAGAAGCCAATTCCTAGGGGCCGATGGGCCGATTATTCAAGTTGGCATCCCTGCTTCCAGCTATACGGATTTCTGAGACTCTAATTACACCCCTCAGTCTATTGTATCGTACACCAAGATGTAGTGACACCAAAGTTTAAATGCACAAACCCTTGTGTGATTCAGATCCATAAGAAGATGGCAAACCCCCACCCAAGATGGCGTCAGAGTCTGAAAACTGAGGCATCCCAGTGGGTGGTGCATCAGGAAAAAGTCTGCTTAACAACCTTAATCACGTCTTATCCTGCAAAGTAAAATTGGGGGGAGGGGGAATCCCCCTGAGACCTAGAAGTGTCAGCAGCTTCATTAGCTGATGTGCTTTGCAGTAGCGGTGCAGCTTTAGAGGAAATGAAAGGCAGGAGGGGAGAGAAGTACAGTCACCATCCGTAAAAGGGAAGCCTTTATGGAACACCTCCGTGACACTCAGCATCAAAGCGTGGAAGATGGCAGGCCTCTTCTCGAGATCTGGAAGGCATATGTGGCCTACTTGCCAAATCTGGAACAAAGTGGAAGGATCACTAAACTTCTGGTTGCAAAGCGTCTGGTACCTGGGAGAGATCAGGGGGATGAGCCTGTGACAGAAGGAGGAGACCAGTGGACTCCAGTGGGAACAGAGCTGAGAGGAAAGCATTTGCCTTTTGTCTGCTTCTTTGGCTCATGTTAAAAGATACACTGGAGTGGAGAGGGAGGGAGGAAGAAGTGATAGCAACCCTCCACATAGCTACCAATAGGGATGGGGGAGAAACTTGATTCAGATGGCATTTAAAAGCAAGCCTACTTAACCTGCAACTGCAGAAGGTTCAGGGCCGATATACAGCTTTGCTTCCAATCAGTGCATGCCTCATAACTTCCTGATTAAATCCAGTAGCTTTTCATATCTTAAATGCTCGTGGGCATCTTTTGCTTGCCACGCCTGCGGGCTCTCTTCCGGCCAACGCTGCCAATGACAGATCTTAAAAACTTGGGGTTGGTGAGATTCGGCAATCGCAGCACCTTGCGCCTGCTGGACCTCCTGAGCAGAGCGGGTTGTGTCTTGCTCCTCGTGAAGTAGGGTGAAATGTGAGGAGCGTTGCAAGCCGGTGCAGAGGCAGAAGGTCTGGCCGAGGTGGTAGAGCACGGCTTCTCTGTCAAGGGCTTCTTCCTAACCCAGTGGAACACCAGTATCATACGCCTCTTAGATGGGTTGGACATGCTGAAGAAGGTGCTGGAGGCCCAAAGACCAGGGTGACTTCAAAGCGGAGGACGCAGCAGGCAGTTCCCTATGAATGGTGCCAAATCCAAGCAAATGTTAGCTCCAGTCCTGTTAAATCGATCCAGCAATTATGAACGTTAAATAAGGGATTAATTCCTCAGGCAGTAGGAAAAGACTTTCTGTGGCTTTTTGATAGATGGGAGCCCCCAACTACTGCCACTGTTGACAGCCTGTTGCCCCTTCACTCTGCTTGAACGGGTTATGTCACAATGGTTCCTTCATCAGGTGTTTGTGAGCATGAAAATGCTGTTGGGAGTTTCAGCAATGAAGGCTCAGGCATAACATATTGCTTGAAAGTCTGAACATTTCCCCTTTTTTTATTTAACAAAATTTATATACCACTTTAATAATTTATATACAAATTATTAGGAGAGTAAGTTAAAAATATACTGTAGTTTATTCACTTATAGGCTAGTTTACATACTTTATTCCTTCTTATACTTCTATCCCACCTTTCCTCCACAGAGCATACACACTTCAGCCTCCACCTTCTCCATTTTATCCTGACAGCAATATTGTGAGCTAGGGCCATAGCTCAGTGGTAGAACAACTGCTTAGCATGCAGAAGGCAGCAGGTTCAGTCCCCAGCATCTCCTGGTGGGACTGGGAGCGCTCCCTCTGCGCTTTGGAGGCTTCGCATTGCTATTGCTGAAGCCATGGAGCCTGCATTCGCTCCATAGGACGCACACACATTTCCCCTTAATTTTGGAGGGGGGGGGAGTGTGTCCTATAGAGCAAAAAATACGGTATGTTGTTGGGGTGGGGGCAGGACACCCACCTGTCCTGTTCCAGAACTGAGCTACCTGTGACGAGACTGGTCAGTTCACAGAAGCCTCACCTATCGCTCAGTCGAGTTGCCAGTTGTGTCGCTAGAATGCTTCGCGACATCATCCAACTGACCTCACAAAGCATTTTAATTTCAAATATTCTGATTCTTTATACTTTTACTTAAGTATCTTCATTTATTTACTTGATTTAGGGGAGGGGTTGCTGCCCCCACTGCCCCTCACTGGCTACATCCATGGAAATGTTCTGAGGTGTTGTTGTTTGATCTGGTTTTGTTGCATTGTAGTACAAGATTGCTGCTTCAGGCAGCACTAATGTGACACCCTTAGGGAAGCATTGCAGGACAACTTATAAAGAGGAATAATGTGTGTGGACTGTCCATCAATGACATAATGCAGGAAACACCCACAGAAAACATCTCCCAGTCTGGAGGACCCGAGATTGTCTGGAGAAGTGAGGAAGAGGCAGCTATAGTCTAAAGCTTTGCTTTTGGTTTTTGCAAGCTTTGTAGACTCACGCAGATCAAAAAGCAGGCTTAAAAAAGCCTTAAGTAAATGAAGATGCTAACAAATACTACCCAGAGTGAGACAGATATTCTTTCAAGCATTCCCTAATCTTTGCTGTTATTTTGCTTCAATTTTGGCACTGGGATGGGCTCTACTCTGAGCCCCATGTGACTGGCAATTCTGAAAGGGCACTAGGGGAGCGGTTTCTGTAGAAACTGATGTGTGAGGGTTATCTAAAAAAAATTTCTGAGCATGTTTCTCTCCCAATAAATAAGTCTCTTCTTTTTCCAGCTGACTGCCTAGGGTGGTGATAGCAGGGAAGGTGGAAAACAAATGTGCATTCAAAAGCCCTGAGCTGACGTTACAAAGTCTATGAACAGGAAATTTTATAGCGAGGTAGGTAAGAAAACGTCTGATTTTTGTTTTATGGAAAATACATGGCTTGGTTGGATAACTTGGTTGGAAAGACAGAGAAACAGAAAAACTGGGGCATTTAAAAAGTTATCAGTTAAGTGACAAGGAAGCAATAATAATAATAACAACTGATAATATTTATACCCCGCCCATCTGGCTGGGTTTCCCCAGCCACTCTAGGTGGCTCCCAACAGAATACTAAAAACTCGATAAAGCATCAAACATTAAAAACTTCCCTAAACAGGGCCGCCTTCAGATGTCTTCTAAAAGTTAGATAGTTGTTTATTACCTTGATATCTGATGGGAGGGCATTCCACAGGGCAGGTGCCACTACCCAGAAAGCCCTTTGCCTGGTTCCCTGTAACTTTGCTTCTTGCAGTGAGGGAACTGCCAGAAGGCTCTCGGCGCTGGACCTCAGCGTCCGGGCAGAACGATGGTGGTGGAGACGCTCCTTCAGGTATCCTGGACTGAGGCCGTTTAAGGCTTTAAAGGTCAGCACCAACACAAAAATGCTCGGAAATGTACTGGGAGCCAATGTAGGGACCAAGGTGCAGTCAGTAAGGTACTGTAATAATAATAGGGGTTGCTCGTGCGTAAGTTGCCGCCACTCCTGGCTAGGTTGCCTGGTTAAACCTTTTCTGTCTGGACAGCCCTTCACTTCGTGGCTGTTTCAGTTGCTAGCAGAATCCTTCAGTGGGCTTTTCTTAAACCTTTTCCAGCATAAAAGCTGTTTGACGCCAAGTCTCCTCCTACTCTCCCTGCGCGGAAGTCTTCTGCGCAGGGAGGGCGTGGGTAGCGGAGGACCCGTGCTCTCCCCGCTGGTCTCCGGCAAGGAGTCCTGGAGCCCCCTCGCCGATTCCCCCATCTGCCCCCCTTTATCCCTGGTGTTACGCTGATTTCCTTCCCCAGCTGATGAGCTGCCTCTCTCCCTGCTGGGCCCTTCTCCAGCATCACTTGGGAGCCTAGCCTCCGCCTCTGGCTCCGATGTCAGTTCCCTGACAGGTACCAAGGGCCACATTTGGCCCCTAGAATGGAGGCTCCCCACCCATGTCCTAGGTCATTCCCACAACATACAGTCAAAGCACATTTAAAGCACATTCTTCACACGGTCTCAAGAATAATCCTGGGAACTGCAGCCTACCCTTCACAGAGCTGTCATCCCCAGCTCCCTTAACAGTTCCCAGGAATCTTCAGGAGAAGCCATGTGCTTTTAATGCTTGGTGTGGATGCGATCCTAAGCTAAAAGAGAAAGGGAAGGTAGGAATCTGGGCTGTGTTTTAGAGGTCATACTGAATTCAGTGTGTCTGGATGGTGCATGTGCACATAAGTGCCAACCTGAAAATGGGGGACTACATAGGAGCTGAAACTGACAAGCCTTGGTGCAGGCAAAATGGGCAGGAGTTCCATGTCATTTTGACTTCAGCTGTAGTGCAGGCTCAAGGCAGTGTCGGTGTGTTTGCGTGTGTGTCTGTGTGTGACACTGACAGGCAGCCTACTCACATTTTTCTCTTGGACTAAAACGGTTTTGCATGCAAGTTCCCTCTCTGATGCCCAATCTCTGGGTTGCAAAATGGGGTGGCTCTGGAGGGAATGGGAAGGTGCATGGCTTTCTCAGCATCAGTGAGGGCACAGATACTGTCCAGCAAGTAACAGTTTTGAGGTAACATCGGCATTGAGAAAGGGCGAATCATTAATGGTATTAAGCCTGGGAGCAAGGAAGCCTTCCAGATATAGGGGCAGGAAAGCTGGAAAGACACAAACAGCTCTCCTGTATTTTTAGCTGCTGTTGGTGTAGAGAACCCTCTTCAAAATGACTTTCTTGGGGCCACATTCCAATGATGGGGCTGCAGAGGCAAAAGTGGTTAGAACAACAGAGGCGACTCTTAAGTTTGCAACACAGAAGTTGGAGGTTTCTACACTCATCCTCTGTCATGTACACCTCTCTCCCTCCTCCATCCAGGCAAGTGAGAGGCATCATCACTGCTCAAGAGTTGCTTCCAGGTGGTCCTTTTGCTGAGCATCCAACCAACCTGATTTGTTTGCACAAAAGTTTGCAGCCAGGTTAGACAACATTGCATCAAGCAATCGTCATCATCCCACATTTTCCAGTGCATTTTCCTGCCACTTTTCCGAACAACCTGAATTTGCTGGAATGTGATTGAATCCCAGTCTGGAAACACCCAAGGACACATCTGAATCAGGCAAAAGCCTTGGGGAGAGTCCCATGGGCTAGACAGGAAGGTCTTCAGCCCACAAACTGGGCTATTATTTGTGGAAAGCTGCCATATTGGGACCAGGAGCATGACACACATTAAAGGTAGGTAATATGTTCCCTTCTTCCATCTCCGTGGAGCCCTGTCTAATTTGCCTGCCATTGATGACCAACATACAGTCAAACAGAGCAAAAACTATTAGGAAAATTGAAAGCTGCCTTATACTAAGTCAGATCATTCAGCTATCTAGCTCAGTATTGTCCACACTGACTGACAAGGAGGGGAGAGTTTTCCCTGTGGGAAACGGAGATACAGGACACAGTGTCTGTCTGCTGCCCAATGTACTAAAGTAGTGCAACTGCTAATGCAAAATTCAGTATTTAAATTAACAGCCTTTCCTCTTTGGTCGCCAGGTGTGATTTGGCTGTGTACTGAAAACTATGTCGTCGTCCCCCACTCTTATCCCCTTATGTGCTGCCCAGAGTGGCTAGGAAAACCCAACCAGATGGGCAGGGTATTTTTTATTATTAGTATTAGTATTATTCAGACTGGGATCCCTTTCATCCCTACCTGGAAATGCTGGGGAATGAACCAAGGACCTTCTATCACTGAGCTAAGATCCTTCCCTAAAAGATGCCAGGAGAGGTCATTTCCTCTCCTTGAACTATGACTAGGCTCAACCAGGCTGCAAACATGGAGTAGCTGAGCACACTCAGGGCCAAAAAAGATTTTGTGCCTGCTCCTTTCACTTTAAATGAGCATCGCAGACCCTTTGGTTTCATTTGGCATTCTGTGGGAGAGGAAAGGCAGGCAGCCTAGCTAATTACATAAGAGGTCGGGTTTTGATTGGAGGTTTTATTTTTAGGCAAATGTAATTGGCGGTATGTGAGTTGGGGGGAATAATCAGAAAACTTGTTGGATTGCCTGTGTGTGTGTGTGTATGTGTGTAGGAGCTGGTTGTGGATTTGTGAAAGGGGAGACATACATGCATATTTATCAAACTCCCTTCCCTGGAATATTTCCAAAAATAATCAAGTTATATTATCGGCACATTGGGAATAAAGCATGCTAGCCTCCTGTGTGCATGGATTTTTATTGGGGGGTTTTTTTGTGTGTGTTGTTTTTGTGAGTTGCCACATGCTGCCTGAAGTCATGAAACAGCCTTACCATTGTTGGAAGGGCAACAGTAGGGATCATTCAATTTGCAGTTTAAGGGTTAGTTCTGTTGGTGTTAAAGTCAACTAGCCCAGAGGGGGATGGGTGGAGGTGTTGCTTAGCAACCAGGTAGACACCAGACATGGTGTTTACTGAAGTAGCACATGCTCTGATTGGCTGTGAAGTTCTCAGGGAGTTTTTCTTCTGTACGTTTTGTTTAGGGTTGCCATATTTCAAAAAAGCCTCCCCGAAGTTGTTGAGCCTCCCCACAAAATATAGTGATTTTAAGCTTTTGGAGCTGCTTAAAGTGCTTTTTCAATCGCGTTGCCATACATCCAGGTTTTCTCTGATATTTTGCCATTTCAGCAAAAAAAACAGAACATACCAGGAATTTTCCTGACATATGGCAAGCCTAGTTTTGTTGAATGAGTTCCCGCTCTCATGAGTGCTCATCCCATTGCATGAGGCAAAATGGAAAGTTGCTGCCTTGCCCCATTGTGGCTGCAGCCTTTTGCCGAAGCCTCGCTTACTGGGGTTGTTCAGTGACTTCCAGCGAGATCTCATAGAACTCTCATGAGATCTCACTGGAAAAAGCCACCTTCACTGTGTGACCCTAGCAGCAGGGGCAGGGGCAAGTGGGGCAACCGCAGTGGCAGCATCCCCCTGGATTCTGCCACCCAAGGCAGCTGCTTCAGTCTGCCTCTGCCTGCTCTGTACAAGGCCTGAACTCAGATGATGCACTGTTTTTGTTTGGTTTCTGCAGTAAAACATTATGCCATCAGGACTCCATCTGCATTGTTCAAGTGCATTTGCTAACAATCGTCACATTTGGTGTGTATGGGACTTGGTATACAAGTGGGGTGGAAAACTTGTGTCTCTCCAGGTGTTTCTGGACTACAACTGCCATCATCCATAGCCACTGGCCACACTGAGGCTGATGGGAGCTGGAGTCCAATAACTTCCCCATCCCCCTTCTACACTCATGGCAAAATTAGGCCACAGCATCCTTCCAGATGTATAGTGTACATTTTTTTAATGCTTTCCCGTGTATAGAAGCTCATGGAAAGCAGAAACAAAGCAAAAACAGGTGCATAGAGAAGAAAAAGTTTTCCCTTTGCCGTTCCACTTTTCTTCATTCAGAGAGTTGCTAGGGCATCATCCAGAGATATAATCTCCCACCTAGGCCACAACAGACGTGATGTGGGAAGCCTGTGATTTGGTCTGCTGATGGCTTCTTCTTTGCTTACCAAGGGTTGTGTGACAGGTTGGGAAAAACTGAATCGCAGGGCTATGACCGTCGGATATGAACCCCCCATTCTGCACTATCATTTCCCTGACTGAAATTAATAATCTTTTCACCAGGTTGATTTTAGCACTGAGGGTTGTGGGGAGAGAAAGGTATTTGTAGCTAATAGCTCTCTCTCTCTCTCTCTCTCTCTCTCTCTCTCTCTCTCTCTGTGTGTGTGTGTGTGTGTGAGAGAGAGAGAGAGAGAGAGAGAAATATACAGTATATTGTTTATGTGGGTGTGTGACAGACTCTGTGTGTGTGTGTGTGTGTGTGTGTGAGAGAGAGAGAGAGAGAGAGAGAGAGATATTTTGTGCTTGTGTGTGAGAAATATATGTGCCTGTGAGAGGGTGTGTGAGGGGGGTATATTTGTGTTGCAAGAGAAAGAGATTTGTAACAGAGTGTGTTTATGTGTGAGAGAAGGAGAGTGTTCTGGAGATATATAATGTTTGTTTATTATATACAGTGGTGCCCCGCAAGACGAATGCCTCGCAAGACGGAAAAACCGCTAGACGAAAGGGTTTTCCGTTTTGAAGTTGCTTCGCAGGACGAATTCCCCTATGGGCTTGCTTCGCAAGACGAAAATATCTTGCGAGTCTTGAGATTTTTTTCCGCTTCCCCCTTTATCTAATCTGCTAAGCCTTTAATAGCCTTTAATAGCCTTTTAGCAGCTAATCCCTAAGCCTTTAAGGCTTTAATAGCCGCTAAACCGCTAATAGCGCTAATAGCGCTAATCCGTCAATGGGCTTGCTTCGCAAGACGAAAAAACCGCTAGACGAAGACTCTCGCGGAACGGATTAATTTCGTCTTGCGAGGCACCACTGTACATATAAATATATAGATAGATTTAGGGGGTCCCCCTTAAACCCTTGTTGTTGTTTAGTCATTTAGTCGTGTCCGACTCTTCGTGACCCCATGGACCAGAGCATGCCAGGCACTTCTGTCCTCCACTGCTTCCCGCAGTTTGGACAGACTCATGCTGGTAGCTTCGAGAATACCATCCAACCATCTCATCCTCTGTCGCCCCCTTCTCCTTGTGCCCTCCATCTTTCCCAACATCAGGGTCTTTTCCAGGGAGTCTTCTCTTCTCATGAGGTGACCAAAGTGCTGGAGCTCGACTTCACGATCTGTCCTTCCAGTGAGCACTTAGGGCTGATTTCCTTAAGAATGGATAGGTTTGATCTTCTTGCAGTCCATGGGACTCTCAAGAGTCTCCTCCAGCACCATAATTCAAAAGCATCAATTCTTCGGCGATCAGCCTTCTTTATGGTCCATCTCTCACTTCCATACATCACTACTGGGAAAACCATAGCTTTTACTATACGGACCTTTGTTGGCAAGGTGATGTCTCTGCTTTTTAGGATGCTGTCTAGGTTTGTCATTGCTTTTCTCCCAAGAAGCAGGCGTCTTTTAATTTTGTGACTGCTGTCACCATCTTCAGTGATCATGGAGCCCAAGAAAGTAAAATCTCTTACTGCCTCCATTTTCCCCCCTTCTATTTGCCAGGAGGTAATGGGACCAGTGGCCATGATCTTCGTTTTTTTGATGTTGAGCTTCAGACCATATTTTGCGCTCTCCTCTTTCACCCTCAATAAAAGGTTCTTTAATTCCTCCTCACTTTCTGCCATCAAGGTTGTATCATCTGCATATCTGAGGTTGTTGATATTTCTTCCGGCTATCTTAATTCCGGCTTCGGATTCATCCAGCCCAGCCTTTTGCATGATGAATTCTGCATATAAGTTAAATAAGCAGGGAGACAATATACAGCCTGGTCGTACTCCTTTCCCAATTTTTAACCAATCAGTTGTTCCATATCCAGTTCTAACTGTAGCTTCTTGTCCCACATAGAGATTTCTCAGGAGACAGATGAGGTGATCAGGCACTCCCATTTCTTTAAGAACTTGCCATAGTTTGCTGTGGTCGACACAGTCAAAGGCTTTTGCATAGTCAATGAAGCAGAAGTAGATGTCTTTCTGGAACTCTCTAGCTTTCTCCATAATCCAGCGCATGTTTGCAATTTGGTCTCTGGTTCCTCTGCCTCTTCTAAATCCAGCTTGCACTTCTGGGAGTTCTGGGTCCACATACTGCTTGAGCCTTCCTTGTAGAATTTTAAGCATAACCTTGCTAGCATGTGAAATGAGTGCAATTGTGCGGTAGTTGGAGCATTCTTTGGCACTGCCCTTCTTTGGGATTGGGATGTAGACTGATCTCCTCCAATCCTCTGGCCGCTGCTGAGTTTTCCAAACTTGCTGGCATATTGAGTGTAGCACCTTAACAGCATCATCTTTTAAAATTTTAAATAGTTCAGCTGGAATACCATCACTTCCACTGGCCTTGTTATTTGCAGTGCTTTCTAAGGCCCATTTGACTTCACTCTCCAGGATGTCTGGCTCAAGGTCAGCAACCACACTACCTGGGGTGTACGAGACATCCATGTCTTTCTGGTATAGTTCCTCTGTGTATTCTTGCCACCTCTTCTTGATGTCTTCTGCTTCTGTTAGGTCCTTACCACTTTTGTCCTTTATTACGGTAATCTTTGTACGAAATGTTCCTTTCATATCTCCGATTTTCTTGAACAGATCTCTGGTTCTTCCCATTCTGCTGTTTTCCTCTATTTCTTTGCATTGCTCGTTTAAGAAGGCTTTCTTGTCTCTCCTTGCTATTTTTTGGAAATCTGCATTCAATTTCCTGTATCTTTCACTATCTCCCTCGCATTTTGCTTGCCTTCTTTCCCCCGCTATTTGTAAGGCCTTGTTGGACAGCCACTTTGCTTTCTTGCATTTCCTTTTCATTGGGAGGTTTTCGTTGCTGCCTCCTCTATAGTGTTACGAGACTCCATCCATAGTTCAGGCACTCTGTCCACCAAATCTAAATCCTTAAACCTGTTCCTCACTTCCACTGTGTATTCATAAGGGATTTGACTTAGATTGTATCTTACCGGCCCAGTGGTTTTTCCTACTTTCTTCAGTTTAAGCTTGAATTTTGCTATAAGAAGCTGATGATCTGAGCCACAGTCAGCTCCAGGTCTTGTTTTTGCTGACTGTATAGAGCTTCTCCATCTTTGGCTGCAGAGAATATAATCAATCTGATTTCGATGTTGCCCATCTGGTGATGTCCATGTGTAGAGTCGTCTCTTGTGTTGTTGGGAAAGCGTGTTTGTGATGACCAGCTTGTTCTCTTGACAGAACTCTATTAGCCTTTGCCCTGCTTCGTTTTGATCTCCAAGGCCAAACTTGCCAGTTGTTCCTTTTATCTCTTGATTCCCTACTTTAGCATTCCAATCCCCTATAATGAGAAGAACATCCTTCTTTGGTGTCACTTCTATAAGGTCTTGTAAGTCTTCATAGAATTGGTCAATTTCAGTTTCTTCAGCACCAGTAGTTGGTGCATAAACTTGGATTACTGTGATGTTAAAAGGTCTGCCTTGGATTCGTATCGAGATCATTCTATCATTTTTGAGATTGCATCCCAGTACAGCTTTTGCCACTCTTTTGTTAACTATGAGGGCCACTCCATTTCTTTTACAGGTTTCTTGCCCACAGTAGTAGATATGATAGTCATCCGAACTGAATTCTCCCATTCCCGTCCATTTTAGTTCACTGATGCCCAGGATGTCAATATTTATTCTTGCCATCTCATTTTTGACCACATCCAACTTACCCAGGTTCATGGTTCTTACATTCCAGGTTCCTATGCAATATTTTTCTTTACAGCATTGGACTTTCCTTTCGCTTCCAGGCATATCCACAACTGAGCGTCCTTTCGGCTTTGGCCCAGCCGCTTCATCAGCTCTAATTAATAAATTAATAAATCTAGGATTTTGGTTATTTGTGATGTGATATGAAGGGAGAATGCAAGCTGCAAAGGAATTCCTTATGCAAAACAACCTGGCTGAGCTATGACTATCAAAAGAACAATTGAGGGACTTTAACAATACAAGAGAACTCTTTCCCCCTTGCCCCAGGATTTGGAAGGTTGCCAGAGTAACTGCTGGAGGGGAGCAGTGTTGCTGGGATGAAGGGAGGAAGATGAGCTCAGATCCATCCTGGGCAGGCTGGCTGAAGGCTGCCAGCACTGCTGTGGGGTACCAGCCCCTCTTGAAAGGACTATGATGTAAGATCCGGTACATTCTATTGTCTCAGGAGGACTGTACCACTTTATTCAGACCCTACAAGTATCCCTATTATCTAAGGATGTCCCTGATTTAGAGAAGACATCTCAATTTCTGATTTGATCCCAGAATGTCCTGCTTTTCCTTAGGATGTCCCTATTTTCATTGGAGAAATGTTGGAGGGTATGAAGTTATCCTACCCTCAAGCCGTCTGAAGGCAATCCTGTATAGGGAAGGGTTTTTTTAATGCTAAATGTTTAATTATGTTTTTATATATGTTGGAAGCCACCCAGAATGACTGGGGCAACCCAGAAAGATGTGTCGGGTATAAATAGTAAAATTAACATTATGGAATGGGATGTCTCTATTTTCATCAGAGAAATGTTGGCAGGTATGTTTCATTCTGGTGCATGTGCAGACTGAGCCTTAGAATTGAACCTTCAGGGAGAGCAGGTGTTCAAAAAAGACTACTCTAAATGGCAATCAGTGAAGCAAAACAGGGGTTTGAGTAGAAGGCAATGCAGTGAGGTTTCCTGGGGCATTCCATTTCCCAACAACAGCACATGGAGAGGCAGGGCCTGACCCCAGATGCTCCAATGGCCCCCATTTTCTGCTACTTGTTCCCAGAAAACCACTCTCCCTTGGTGGGTTGGTGAAAGGGCTGCCATATGTCCTGATTTTCCAAGACATGTCATGGAATTCACCTCCGAAAATGGCATCCTGGGTTATTTTTCAGAAATTGGGCAGATGTCCTGGAAAACCAGCAATGGGGGCTCCATAACTCAAAAATAGGCAGTGGTGCTTTTAAAAAGCAATGCCAATATGAGAGGACTGGGTTTATATCTTTATTGGTCAGTGGACACATTTAGAATTTTAAGAAAGCACTGTGGGTACCAGTCACAAAATGGCTGCCATGAGGTCATTGCATAACATAGCATGGCTGCTTTGGGGGCATGGCATACAGCACAAAATGGCTGCCACATTTAAAAGAACAAAGAAAGAGCCAGGACCAGAAAATGGCACAGGCATGCTCCTCACATCGGCTCCCGCCAATGCAAATCTGCAAATGTGTTTCTGGAGGTCTTGCTCTGTCTCTTGCACACGTTTTTCATTTACTCTGCTTGTCGTCCACAATTTAAAAGTCAACGAGTTGTTCTTTTGGTTTGAAGGTGTATATTTGGCGAAATGCTGCCACAGCTCAAAATGGAAAACAGATGCTGATGTTTGTGAAATAGGCTGTGTATTGCATGGTGCCTCTTGCATTCCTGCACTTGTATGTACATTGTTAAATAGTGGGTAGACATAGCAGACGACGCAGCGATTTCTCCAAAGCAGCTTTTTATTTGTAAGCTGGAACAGAACTGAACAGCAGACAGCTCAGCCGGCCTGCTTTTATAGGCAGCCAGCTGTCAGCATTGTAGCAACAACAAGCCAGGGTTTCCCGCCTAAAGTAACTGATGTGGACCTGAGTGAAAACTACATACACAATACTCCTGGTGGCCAGGGTGAGAACTTCAATACATAACATACCTCATGGTTAGAAATCCCCCCTCTCCCCCAAAAAAGAGCTCATGTATCATCACTGCTGGTGTACATCAGCAGTTAGGAACTGTTCCCTGCTCCCTGCAAGGGCTTCATTTCCTTTGGAGAAAGTGGTGAGGGCTGCATACCAGTGGTAGACAGGACCTTACCCAAAGTGGACATGACCAAAACACATACACACAGTCCCCCCACCCCCAAAATCCACAGTGCCTGACAGACTGCTTTTCCTGTTCTGTTCTGTTTGGCTTGGCCCTGCCCCTCCTCAATTAAACATGCTCTCTTAAACATCATGGAGGTGTCAGATCGAGACTTTTTGGAAGACAATAGGGGTGTTAGAGGCTAGGAAGAGCATTTCTAGGTGATTAAAAAACAACAACCTCAGGGAACATGCCCGTGGAACAAATTTGTCTGGACAAATTAAGATGCAGAGACATGCTGTGGTCCCATACACACCCATCTACCCCGTAAGCAAAGTTGTTAACAAAATTAAAAAGTTTAAAACAAGGGGGGAAGGTGCAGAAGATCTGCTGCCCAATGCAAAATGCCTTCGGCCTTGTGGGACACAACTAAATCTCATGGTGCCACATGTAACTGAATATAACATGGTTCTGATGAAATCCTGCTCCTGTTTTATTTTTTAATTCTACTATATTATTTTTGCTCACTTTAACAAATACAATACAAAAAATACAATTGGGACAATGGGACAACCATGCAACGTCTGCTTGTTTACAATTAGGGAGGAACAAATTACCAATTCTGGATTTTCTCCGTTTCTCTTTTTCCCAATACTAAGTTCCATTCCCCACATTCCCATGTCAGTCTGCGAATCCTCAGAAAAACCCAACAGCCTTGTGCAAATTTCCTAACCTTCCCTCTGATATAATGCATTTTAACTCTACTAGTATGTGAATTTATGTGCACGTTGCTGGGCTGGAGAACTGCAGTGCAAAATTCAAAGAAGTGGAACATTTGGAAGATGGCTGTGTTTCAGTTCACATTTTGTTTTGGGAAGTGTGAGAGTGTAGGAAAAATAGTTTTGCTTTTAAATGTGAACTGAATCATTTTTTTCCCTCCATCCCCTACTTACAAGTCATGGAAAACAGGAAGCTTAATACTGAGTCAAACCATTTGTCCATCTCGTTCAATATTGTCTACAATGACAGGGGTCTCCCCCAGCCTTACTTGGGGATGGGCAGACTGAACCCAGAATCTTATGAATGTATGATTGATGTAATACCTGCAATCATTGGCAGAAAGAGAGTTGGATATTTGGCAGTGAAACAGTGAGGAGGTGTACAACAAAGAAGCATAAAGCAAAATATTTCTTGCTGACTCTGTGTGTGCTAAGAATCTGTGCCCTTTTTCTAAGAAGTGATCAGAATATTTGACATCCTATTTAGCTGCAGGGAAATCTTATCCATTATTAGGTTATTCCAATCCTTTACAAACTACCCTCTTATTGGGAGGAAACAAGCAATTTAGAATAGAGCTTCTTCTGATGGCTCTCCTTGTTTCTATACACTTTTAATTTTTGACGAGCTTCCTTGGTTAGACTTTGCTTATTCCCCATCTGAGTTACCAACCACCCCAAATCCTAGATGGCTCAGAACATTTATTTTTTTTAAAAAAAAAAGTTGCAAGAAGCAGTGCTGATCCCTTAATGGGGTATTTTGAGACAATCGAGGGAACATAATGAGCAAAACGAAAGAGGAGAAACAAACCCCTTTCGGCAATGCAGCAGACCTCAGCCCACGCACTTCTCACAGACTGAGAGCAAGGGGGGGGGGAGAGAATCTGGCTTGTTTTGCTAGCATCATAGTTTTATTGCGATCATACATTAAGCTCCTTTTTATAAATAGAGGTGATAAAGGCCGGTGGGGAGGAGGGATGTAAGTTTCTCACAACTTCACTGTGTTCATACTGGAAAAGACCAGTGTCAATTTTGCCTTTGAGCATATTAATCTCCATCCCCCCTTACTTGCACACATGTACGTACTAACAAACACACTTATTAGCATATTATTCTCAGTTCTCCCTTACACACCCACACCCCATGCCATACATTTATGTGTTGTGAATAAACAGGGTGGAATCAGTACTCAGGTTTGGGGCGTGGAAGGGAAGAAAGTTTTATGAAATAGATATGCCCAATACCTATGACTTGAGGGGGGAGACTGTGACTTAAAGGGGTGCAGGAAAAGTGGGTGCCATTCAGCCTGCCAACACCCCTTAAGATACCTTCACGCTCCTAGGCACCTTAGATAATGCTGCCTCATCACCAGTACTGAAGTAAGTCATCCTCCAGTCTGGTCAATTTTTATACAGGAATTTAGGAAGCTGCCTGTCAGAGGATTGATCTAGGACACCAAAAACATCATTTTTCCATGACAAAGTGCTGCTAAATTCCCCCAGATGTCAATTCTGCCTTTGAAAATCCAGATGTATGGCAGCCCTAATTGATCCATCTTGCTCAGTATTGTCTAACTGGCAGGAGCTCTTTGGACAGAGGTCCCTCCCAGTCTTATCTCAAGATGCTGGGGACTGAACCTGGGACCTTCTGCGTACAAAGCAGATGTCCTGCCACTGAGTTATGGTTCTTTTATCTGCTAATAAATTTGCGACTTCATTACCTCTTTATTTATTTCTAGTGTTGACTCAGTGCTTCACCAGTTCAGTTGTTTGCCTCTGACCTAATCAACGTTGATCAGAGGAACACAGGAAACTGCCTCGTACTGATTCAGATCACTGGCCCATCTCTGCATCAAGTTGCAGTGGCTTTGCAAGCTTTCAGGCAAGAGTTTCTCCCTAGAGATGCCAGGAAATGAACCTGGGACTTTCTGCATGCAAGGCAGATGCCCCGCTGCTGAGCTATAGCCCCTATTTGGAAATGTGGAGCTACCATCTTACCCACTTCAGAAAGCATGGTATCTTAGCCTAAAGATATAGGGCAGCCCTCTCTGTTCCTGCCCTATAATTGCTATGGCTGCTATGGAGAAACAAGAGCATTGCCAAGTTACTCATGAGGTCAATGCCTCAGGTTTGTGGCCAATTAATGATGTGGTGGGCAGTTATATCTGGGCCCCAGAGTATATCAGCCAAGTATGTTGTTTGTAATAAGGCTCAGTCCTGTGAAGCAAGAAGTCAATGACATTCAGCGTGCACCAAGAAGCACTTTAGACCCCAACACTTTGTATTGCAGATGGGTGAAAATACATGTTTAAATGGCATCAGCTCACGGTTCCCATCCTGCACAGAGAAGAGGTCCTGTCAAGGAGAAGGGCTGTAGCCTAACTCTCTCCCTGAAATACTAATCTTATGTGTGCAGGGAGCTTTCAACAAATTTTAGACCATACATTTACAACACTATGATACCACTTTAAACAGTTGTGGCTTCCTCAAAAGAATTCCAGACACTCCAAGTGGTCCTATTTTCCAGGGACAGTTCTGAATATACAGAAGCTGCCCCAGTTTCTGGTTTGATCCAGGAACGCCCCACTTTTCCTTAGGACAGGGGTCAGCAAACTTTTTCAGCAGGGGGCCAGTCCACTGTCTCTCAGACTTTGTGGGGGGCCGAACTATATTTTTTTTTGGGGGGGGAACTAATTCCTATGCCCCACAAATAACCCAGAGATGCATTTTAAATAAAAGCACACATTCTACTCGTGTAAAAACACCAGGCAGGCCCCACAAATAACCCAGAGAAGCATTTCAAATAAAAGGACACATTCTACTCATGTAAAAACACCAGGCAGGCCCCATAAATAACCCAGAGATGCATTTTAAATAAAAGGACACATTCACTTCCAGCTGTTTAGGATTTAAAATTATGGATAGATTAAGATTAAGGATTAGGATTAAAAAAGTTTAAGGAAATGGAAATTTGGTTTTTAAAAGGTAAAATTTTAATGTTATATTATATTAAGAGTAAGATTGGGATTAAAAAAAGAGGAAAGAAATTGCTGGACAAACAATTTGAACTGGAATACAAAAGAGGAGGTACGAGGAGGTCCAGAAAATAAGTAAATTTAAAAATGGAGACGAAAAGGTGATATTGTTTTTAATTGTTTTACTTTCTTTTTTGTCTTTTGTTTTCTTGTTTCTTTATTTTTTCTTTCTTTTAGATTATGTATTCTACATTTTGAATTGTGTATTTCTTTTTTATGTTTTATGTTTAATCTTTTATTGAAACTTTAATAAATATCATTTTAAAAAAAAGAAAAAAGGACACATTCTACTCATGTAAAAACACGCTGATTCCCGGACCGTCCACAGGCCAGATTGAGAAGGTGATTGGGCCGGATCCAGCCCCCGGGCCTTAGTTTGCCTACCCATGCCTTAGGACGTCCCTATTTTCACTGAAGAAATGTTGGAGAGTATGGAGATACTCCTGAGCCAAGTAGATAAGGAAGTATACAACCTTTAGAAGACTAAACCTGAAGGCAGCCCTGTATAGGGAAGTTTTTATATTACATTATATTTTAATATATGTTAGAGGCCACCCAGAGTGGTTGGGGCAGCCCAATCACATGGGTGGGGTATAAATAATAAAATCATCATCATCATCATTATGGAATAGGACGCCCCTATTTTCATCGGAACTGCATTTTGTTAAGGGTGCCAAGAGTTCTTAAGAAACTCCCTAGCCCCCTCCCAGAGCAACAATTTCCAGAGTTCCCTGTGAAAAGAGGTTGATTGTTAAACCGCTCTGAGAATTGTTGCTCTAAAAGGGAAATAAGGACCTCCTAACAACTCTCAGCACCCTTAACATACTAAACCTCCTAGAATTCTTTGGGAGTAGCCATGACTGTTTGAAGTGGTATTATAGTGCTTTAACTGGTAAGAATGTGGGGGTTTACCTAAGACAGGGATGCCATACGTCCGAAATTTTCTGGACATTGCTGGGATTTGGCTGTCGGAAACAGTGTGCAGGTGGGAACGGCAACTTCCAGATGCATGGCAACCCATGTTGGAAGTGTAGATTTTGGCGAATTTCCTTAAAAATAGCTCAAAAACTTTGCCAACCATTTTTTTTTCTGTCCGGATTTTCACTTTTTGACATACGGCAACCGTACCTTCGCTTCAGCGGAGCATCACGTTACAAAACCTTGGCATTTCCATATGATTACTAAATGCAAACAGTCGCCATAATTGGAAGTGGGTGAGTGGAGGAAATGTCCAGACACCGATTCTGTGTGCCAGTGTTTCACTTGATCAAGATATATTTACTTTTAGGAATGCAAAGTGCCCAGTAATTGGTATTGTACATATTGCCCCCCTCCCCCGCCCAGTCTTAAAATTAATGGATCAATAAATTAACAAGTACTATGTTGGCCCGGCTTGAATATCCTGGTGCCAAAGAGTCTTTGCACTTGGCATCGCTCACATCCTGTAATTAAACCAAGCCCACTGGTGAACCTGAGCTGCTTGGGAAGGAGCCACTGCATAATAGAACATGGGAGCAAAGTTGTCGCATTTAAGAGAGATCAGTAATCCATTATGGGCCACAGCCAAGCTGGTGATGCATTGCTGAAAGCGCCCTTTCAATATTGCATGAAGGGAGTCGGCCAAGCAAACCATATTAAAAGCTGGTTTCCTGCTCTTTTGGTAAGGCAGGCGCTCAGTCAGCACTCGCCTCCCCAGCCAGGATCTTGCATGCCACAATCAATAGGGCTGTTCCAAGTTCCAGACAACTCGCCACAGAACTATGCTCCAGGTTCTCTCAAGCCTGGAGCTATGGGGATGCTGCAGTCCACAGAAGCAGCTTATCTAGTTCAGTATTGCCTGCACTGACTGGCAGCATCTTTCCAGGGGCTCAAACTGGGGACATTCCCAGCACTACTACATGTGAAGCAAATGTTCTGCCACTGAGAAATGAACCATCAGTTGGAACTCACAAACTCATGGAAGGAAGCACACCCTTGCCTGGTCTCAGTTCCAAAACTTTGGACTGAGTCGGTCAACTTTGCAGGTTTTTGTTTGGTCTACCACATTAAGTTAGCCTGGATAGCTCAGTTGGTTAGAGCATAGTGCTGATAATGCCAAGGTTGCAGGTTCAATCCCCATATGGGACAGCTGCCCAGTCCTGCATTGCAGGGGGTGGACTAGATACCTCAAGGTATCTCTTTCTTCCAACTCTCCAATTCTAGAATTCCAGTCACTAGCTATGAGTTGGATTCATACTGTATCTTTGGAGATCACACAGGCAGGATCAGACCTAATGGTAACCATAACTTGTAGTGAGTCAGACCATCATAAAGGAGTAAATTTCAAAGAGTAGCTGTGTTTCAGTCCACAGATTGTTTCAGAAAGTGCAAATTAGGTAAAATTGCCTTTAACCTCGTCTCAATTATTGTAATGCACTCAGTGTGGGCCTACAGTTGGTCCTGGCCCAGAGATGCCAAGGATAGGAGCCAATTCCCTGGGACTGAGGTCCCTTGCGCACCCCCCAATAAAGTATCTGAGGGGGCTGCCCCCCCACCCAGTTGATGGGCATTGCCATTCAAATTGTGTTTTTGTGCTGTGTCACATGATCGAGTATACAGGGCAGGACTTATTTGGGGGCCCGAATATTTTATTCACGTTGGCAGCCCTTACACCAAGCATTGCCACCCTACCTGTATAACCAAGCAATTCTAAAATATAGATGCGCTTTTACTTTTTCAAGATTGAATGTATTGCCCTGGGCTGTACTTGAGGGATGGTTCCAACAGATTCCACACAAAAAACGCTTATGTCCCTGTGGAGGTGGCAGTAATGAATCGGTGGCACATGCCCTTCTGGCTTGCATGCTTTATAAAGACTTGAGGTATAAGATTATCACCCTTCTTTCATTGTCCATTCCAGGTCGCCCAGCCACTGCCACAGTGTCCTTTCTCTTGGGAGATCAAGATGAGAAGGTGACAGCAAAGGTTGCAAGGTATTTTTATATAAAATAAGATAAAATAAAATGCATTTTTATTGGGTTTCTTTGTTATAGCAAATTGCAAATACAATTATCCAAATTTTATATTTTACAATCCCCACCCTCCCATTGACTTCCTTCATCTTCCCTTTCTGGTTTATTTCATTACTTGTTATCTTCTGCAAGTTAAATAACTATACATGTTGTTACACTATCTTTCATCATATTCTGCTTAAAGTTGTGAAACCTGCCAATGAGTCCATCTCTTTTTGTTGTTTCTATAGGTAAGTTGTGAAAGGTTCTCAATCTTTTTTAAAATCACTATTGTCCTTTTCATGTACATTGTCTGTTAACTTTGCTAATTCTGCATATTTCATCAATTTTTCTTGCCATTGTTCTTTCGTTGGTACTTCTCCTGTCTTCCAGCCTTGTGCTAACAAAACGCTTGCCGCTGTTGTAGCATACATAAATATTTTTCTTTTTTCTTTTCGCCGTTCTTGACCTGAAATACCCAGCAAAAAGGCTTCTGGCTTTTTTACAAATGCCATTTTAAACATTTTTTTCAGTTCATTATATATCATTTCCCAAAAATTCTTTACAACTCTACATTCCCACCACATATGGTAAAAAGTGCCTTCCTTCTCTTTGCATTTCCAACAATTTTTTGATCCTGTTTTATACATTTTTGCCATTTTTACCAGTGTAATATACCATCTATACATCATTTTCATGTAGTTCTCTTTCAACAATATGCAATCCGTGAATTTCAGATTCACTTTCCATAATTTTTCCCAATCTTCAAATTGTATATTATGCCCCAAATCTTGTGTCCATTTAATAATTGCCAGCACATAACTCTACAAAGCTTGAACTAGTTGCTCATATACTAGCTGGTTAGGTTCAAGGTTCCTGTATTAATTTACAAGGACCACCTGATGCTTTTTATATCCCTGTTCAATTTCCTAGGTTTTCAGCGGAGTCACTGTTAATGGTCCCCATAGCTTGGATGCACAGCTTAGATCCAAAAGAGTCTTGTGTTCAGTATTATGGTCCAATTTTGTTTAATTTGCCTCCAGTTGGAGTCAGACAGGTCCTCTCCTTGTTGAACTTCTCGCACTTCCTGAAGGCCTATTTTTATTATTATTTATCCCAGCAGGTTTTTAAAATCAACTCTAATTTCACAGTTTTCACTCATCTTTTGCCCTCTACATCTGGTCTCCTGTGCACTGCTTAGAGATGACTGTGATTATGCGGTATGTAAATTGCTGAAATAAAACTAAAAAGTGAAATAAATGTGAACTGAGTTGAATATCTTCCCTCATCCTTGCCTGCAAATCATGGTAACTCGTGGCTTTGTTGCTGCTGAAGCAATTCATTATGGGTCAATGCAGCAGTGCTCTTGAGCAACCCCCATTCATTTCAATGGGGCTTGAGCAGGAAAACTTTCCATTGCATAGTTTTTATCAGCAAGAGGAGCCACCTATGCCTAACACAATAGATGTTGGAGTGGCAATGGGGAGGGGGGCGATAATTGCTTTTTCTCTTTTTAGTCCAGACAAGAATCCTTGTTAACTCTTCACTCACCCCACCTTTTGACAGTCCCTTAATAAGAAGCCTGTTTGGGAGGACAGCAAAGAAGCCTTGGCTTAAAATTGGCTACAGAAGCTGGCAGCTCTTCTTAGTAGGTGTCAAAAGCGTATGTCCAATTATAACACTACATCCATCGCAGATGGGAAGAGAAGCAGATGGCTATCAGGGGACTCAGATGCCATTTTGAGAGGAGGAAGGAGGAGGAAAGAAAACTGCATTTGTTTGCCCTCTGTAGAAATTAAATATTGGTCTGTTTGATTAGAGACGGATGCAGGGATATAACTGGCCAATGAGACAGAAACAGTCTGGGGTAGCCTGGCTCACTTTCTACAACTGGGAACCTATGGGAATGGGGGGGGGGAGGACATACGAAGCTGCCATATACAGAGTCAGACCATTGGTCTATGTTAGGGCTGCCATACGTCTGGATTTCCCTAGATGTTACCAGACATCCGGGGAAACTTTTCGAAAGGCAGATCTTAGGCAAATCAATCGAGAAACCTCTCTCTCTCTCTCTTTGCGTTTTTGTGAAAGCTCAACAACTTTCGGGTTTGTGTGGGGGCCTCTTTCAGCCATATCTGGAGACGCCGCTGGAGATTAGACTTTCTGCATGCAAAGCAAATGTTCTACCACTGAGCTACAGGGACACTGTTCAGTCTTTTCAAAGCTTTCCTCTGCAATCAAGAGGGCTAGAAACTTGACGGGGGGGGGGGAGCAACCACCCTTAGTGGGCGTTACTGTATATTCCAACCTCTCCTCTGACTCAGCTGCTAAACTGCATGTGTGCAAAGTAAAGTCACAGAAGCACAAAAAGTACATTGACACACATCCTGTCAGTATGATTATTTATTAGATTTTTGTCATAGGATATGGTTTTTTTAAAGCATGGGATCCTAACAGGATCATTTACTTAACTGCCACCAATAGTAACAGTGTCAAACTGAAATGTCAATTCATTCCACCTTGAGCTGAAACCCACTTGGTTCAAAAGTAGTCATACTGCAAGAAACATCTAATAGGTAGTCTTGTCCAGAGCATTTTAGCAATTGCCTCATTACATGTGTGCCCTAATAAGAAATATGTTTCCCATCTTGCCTTCTGTACATCTGAGAAATTGGCATAGCCGATCAAGCAGAAGCCATTGTGCTCAATGTCAGAGTTATCTGGGTCTTTAATGAGTCTCTGGGGGGGTCTGCAATGGATTTTGCTGCCAATTTAATGTTCAGCTGCTCACTGCAAGGGAGGGGGGTGGAGAAAAAGAACGGGAAATGGATTTGGTGCTGCAAATTGTATCCACAACATGCTATCCAAAAACCTCTATCTGGTCCAGCATCTTCAGGCATTGCTGGTGTGGGGTCTCCACGATAGCATCAGGTATGCAAGTTTCATGGACCAGTTGCCCTAAAAGGAAGTGTTTCATGAACCATCTTGCTGAAAGAAGAGATGCCTTGTTCAGATCTTGGCAATCTGTTATGCAGAAAAATAGAAAACTTCTTTATGCTTGGTTTGATTATTTGTCCATTGAGCTCAGTATTGTCTGTTCTGGCTAAAAGTGACTTTCTGGCATCTAAGATGGGGATCTTTCCCATCACCTGCTGTCTAATTCTCTTATCCACTGCATGCAATGCATGTACCTAAAGGTTGAGCAACGGGTTAACTCATTCAGCTGTGTTCCTAGCAATAGTATAAAATCATAGACTTGGAAGAAATTCTGAGGACCATCTAGTCCAAACCTCTGCAATGCAGAAATATGTATAGTTGGCTAATTTCCCAAAGCAAACTTAAAGAACAACGCCCCCCCCCCAAAAAAACCCCACCCACCTAAATGCTGGTGGCTGAAATCTAGCAAAGCACTTTCAGGGGTGAGAAGGGGGAAATTAAATGAAATTCTTTTGCTTCTTCTTATCTTTAGGTTCAGGAGAAAAGAACAGGAGAAGAGAACCCGTCACTAGAGGGACAGTAAGCACGGGTAGGGAAGCACAATCTTGTCTCTTTCAGTTTTGCCCAGTTTCTCATTATTCCAGTCTTAAATTCCATTCATCCATTTCTGAATTACTTTGCCCTAAATATATTTGGTAGCAAAGTGCTAAGTCAAATACTCTACGATGTTGAAATCTGGAGCTCTGTCCTGAACTCCATTAAAGTTTTGGAAACAATGCAGAATAACTTTTTTGGGAAGCTATACTCTCTATCATCAAGAATATCAGCAGCTCTTCTTCATACTTAATCTGAGTAGCCAACAATTAAGGCAATAGCAGACTGCACTCAGTTAAAGTATATTAAAAGAATTGCTACTATGCCCATTGAGTGTTTTCCTGCACTGTGCTATATGGAATTGAGTGATACCAGAGTTGGTTGTTTTAGACTATTACTAATTTCCAGAACTGAGCTCTGCTTGGGCCTTGAATAAATGTCAGCTAAGGGATTGCCTCTTCTGGATAGAACTCAGAAGGGACCTACAGCTAAATACAAACACAGCTTTTCCCCCTTGGTATGCACTCTCAAGAACAGGGCATTTTACAGCTAGTTATCTGACCAAACTTTCACCAGTTTCCTCGGGCTGCATTTCCAAGTGATGCTCACTGCAGTCTTGGATGGCTGTACACAGACAAACTTTGTATCTGTGGACAACCTCAGGTACAAAACGTTACTCATTATCTGTTAGGCTGCCCCTTGTGTAGAGACCCAAGAGTTCACTTTACACATGCAAGCAGATACACCCCAGCATAAATTGTTTGGTTTCTTTCGAGAGGCACTAATAGCTTTGTAATACAGAGAGTGGCCTTCTGTACACTGGCTGCATAAAATAAAATCAGGAAAAAGGAGTTGGATAAAATCACTATAAGTTGTTTTGGTGATTCGGAGGTTTAATCTGAAATCAAGCTATGTATGTTCTGTATTATTTTATTAATAATATTGCTACAGTTTTGTATGGTCTTTGGATGGAACACTAAACGTATGAACTGAACAGAAAATGTGTATTCATTTCCACGTGTATTCCTCCTAATAGGCACATTTTTGTGTGCAATGTTGCCTAAGACAGACATTCCTCACGAAGCAATTTCCTCTAGTGCCATTTTGCCCATTGTTTCCACTAAACCTGTGTGTTTCAGTATACACTAACCTTCCAATGCTTTCTTCTTGGTATGCTTAAAAAAAGAAAGATATGTATCAGAAAATTCAGAAGAGTGAATTCCAAAGGATAGCTGAATTTTATGTGACATTTCAGTTCAAGACATGAAAACGGGGCAAGTTAACTTGAAAACTGGAACCAAATTAATTTCTCCTCTTTCTGTAGTATATGGAAAGATTGAATCATTGTTAACCTCAGGGAAGGGGCACAGCTGGAATTGCCAACTCAAGTGCATGCTTTGCATTGCAAAAGGTCCTTCAATTTAAAAGGAACTCAAGTGGCAGAACTGGAAGAGAGCGTTCTGTCTGAGGCTCTGAAAAGGTACAGCCAGCCAAGAGTAGAAAAGGCTGGGATGAGTGCACCAGCGATATGACATAGTATGTAGAAGCTTCGTGTGTTCCTATTTAGCTTGCCCTCCTTTGATCAGAATTCATTTCCATGTTGACATTTAAAATGTATCGACTTTCTTCCAAATCAGACGAGGAACAGAATGTTGAATATGGTACATCACGACATTGCAAAGTTTCAAAAGATCTAATGTCATTTAAAATGGTAATTAAAATATTGCGTCCCACCTTTTGAACCAAAAAGTCTCCCCACAAAGCAACTAACTGTGAGCTCAAATACTGCTAAGCCAGAGATGTGGATCTTGTGGCCCTCCAGCTGTTACTGGACTTCAACTCCCATTATCCATGACCATTGGACCATGCTGACTGGGGCTGAGGGGTGTTGGAATCCAAGAACTGCTGGAGGGCCACAGGTTCTCTGCCCCTGCTGTGCAAGAATAAAATAATGGACGAAACATTTCCTTAGGCTCTAGAATGAACAGACATAACCTCTGCAGAGAAGTCCCACCCCCCAATGACAGGAAAGAATGCTAACTGGTGAAAGTCTCTCTTATCTAGAGGGCTGTAGATAAGAAGCATCAAGGCATTGCCAGTTCCATGGGACAAGGGTTGTGAATGGTTGCTTGGGGTTATCATAAATATAAGCAGCATAATCTCTTCTGGCTGTTACTATTTTCATTCAGGAAGAGCTTTCGGGTATCAAAACGTTAACCTGCTGCGAATTAAAATGACCTTTTGCCGCTTCAATCAAAGCCCACTGAAATTGACAGAATTGTTTCCATGGCGTGTCCCATGCAGGTACTGTTGTGGTGGGGGGGGGGGGCTTATGTTTTCCACCTATTCCATTTTGGCCTGTGCCCCACTTTTTTAAAAAGAAAGAAAAATGTAAATGGATTAGCAGAGCCTCCTTCTTTCACCACCAAGCAACCACAGTTTGCCCTACTAAGAATTTAGGAGAAGGGTTTCATTCCAAGGCTTATAATACTCAGGCTGGACTAAATTTTTGAGCCACTGGAAGCTCTACCTTAATCTCAAGTACGGGGGGTTTGGATTCTGCATTGAAACTGTCTCCTCTTTTTTTGCATCTTGGTCATGAGGAGCAAGTCAGCTGGTTGATGCCATTCACACATACCCTTTATGCTCTCATTCTGTGAAGCATCCTATGAAACTCCTCGCAATCAATCCTACAATTCTCAGAGTTGCTTAACTGGCAATCCTTCTTTGCAAGGAACTCTGGAAGTTAAAGCTCTGTGAGATGTATAGGGGTCCTCTCAACAACCCTCAGCACCCTTAACAAACTACAGTCCCCAGTGTGAAGTCCTAAAATCCAGGTATAACTAGGATTCTTTGAGTTGAAACCATGACTCTTTAAAAGCGGGACCATGGTGCTCTCTCCCGGGATTCTCCTCATCTAAACACAAATGCAGCTTCTTCTCTTGTTACCCAGAAACAAGTCTCATCTCCTTGTGGCTGAGCCAACTTTAGACTCCACCTCTCGCCTCATGGCGCCTCTGTTTTCTGTCTCTGCCATGACTCTCCTCGTGGCTCCTGCCCCCTCACCAATCTGTCTTCACATAGTTGCTCTGTGGTCCCTCATGGCTTGTGCTATAAATGTGCTATAAATGTATGGGGTGTACACAGCCTGGAACAGCTTCCTCAGCTTTAGACTTCAGATCCCATGTCAGTGTTGGGGAGTGGGGAGGATGGGGAACTGTGCTGGCAACTCAGTAGGACTTTGGGATCACCATGGGCACCATATATTGATGGGTACAAGTCAGGGTCCTATATTCCTTGAAGAAGGGCAGACGCTTAATATTAAACCATGCCAGCTGAAAGGATTTCAGAAAGGTTAGAGAAGTGTCAGGAAGGATGGTGTTGTAAATAGGTGGGTGGGAGGGAGGGGAGTTGAAGAAAGAGCCTATCCCCCTCCCCACAACTCTTTCTTGAGTTTCAGAGCAGAGGTGCGAATAAAACTCAAGTCTCTGTGGCTCATTGTAGCTCACATGCTGAGCCTCTACATAGCACCTTGTCTCTTTCTTCTAAAAGCTGACAGCAATTATTCCTGAGGGAATAATTGCCAGCAGGCACAGTTCACCTAAGTGGTCTTTTTAACCTCTGGGGGTCCTTACAAGTTTATTGGTGATGTTGGGTTCCGAGTGACAAAATCAATTGTTGTTTTATTTTTATTTTTTTCTGTCAGCTATCGAGGTGAGGCAGGCACAGGAGCCCCAAGAAAACAAAGTGTTGGCAACTCAAGTGGATAGGAGGGAATAGACCTAGATTTCCCTCCTGGGTCTTCAGCTGTTCCCCTGAGCTGCCTCCTCAGGCTGGGGTTGCTCCTTAAAAACATTTGTAGTCCACCCTTCGTGTGCACTAGGGAGGGTTGCTCCAGAGAACTGGGATGCTAGATCTCCCATGGCAAATGCAGGGACAGGGAGGGCTACCACCCAACAATATCATCAGGGACTTTCACTGGCATCTGCCTGGCAGTTTCATTCCTGAGTTCAGCCTGCCAACTTCCACTGGCTTCCACCTTTGAATAGCCACTGGGCTGGTTCATCCTTCTACCCTGTACCTGGAGCTGGCTCCTGTCACATAATTCCCAGGAATGTCACATCTGGTGGGCTACCTATGCCAGTCCAATGCATCCAGACACATACCATTCGCCTCAACAGCATTCAAAACCTCCCATTCACACATGGAGACACATTCACTCATCAGCCGCTCTCCATTCACACACGTATATGCCCCCAGCTTCAGTCCACAAATATCCACACAGTTTCTGTCAACGGGCTTCCAAAGCTGAGTTTGAACCTGCTTACATCCCAAACAACAGTCTGTTTCAGGAATTGCAGTGTCCACCATTATCCAAATGTGAATGCTACTGGCTTCTATTTCCCAACATTTGCCAGCTTCCACCAGGTCCATCGCCAGACATCAGCCAGCCTCCAGCCATGGAGACCTTCAAGGCACAAACCCACTCATCATGCCACAGCCTCCCACTGCCAGATGATCTCCTCCTTGGCCAGTGAAGTACTTAGCCTCGGGAGACTCCTGGAAGGCCACCCTCAGCCCTCAGACTAGAGGTTCCCCATCTTGGTCATAAATAAATGGTTTTTAAAATTGGCATTTCCACCATTAGTCATTCTCAGAGTAGACCCATGGAGTCAATAGACCAAGCGTGAGGAGGAGGAGGAGGTAGGTGGCAGGAAGTGCCACCTGCCTGGGCTGGCTGCAGAAAGGCAGGCAGGTGAGGGACTGGCCAAGGGGAGACTGGGGTTGATGGGGGTGTTAAGGTCAGCAGAGGTGGGGGCCTCTTAGTAGTTCCATCACCCTCAGAAGTGCAGTGGCCCAGGAGAGGCCCTCCTCCTCCTGAGTTGTGGAATTCCCTCTCCGCAGAGGTGCATCAGGTACCCTCGCTATATAACTTATGACAAATGTTGAAGACGTGTCTCTTTACCCTGATATTTGAAATCTGAGGTGTGTGTTTTCTGGGCCGTCCCAATTCCTGTGACTAATTTGTTTTAAATGTTTTTAATACTGAATTTTAGACTGCTGCAATCCACCCTGTGATCTGCTGGTGAAAGCAGGTACAGAACAACAAGACTTGCTGCTCTCCCACATGACTGCCTTCGGACCTGCCTCCCACTGGCATGTGACCCCCCCAGAAGATATTGTGGCCCTTGGGCTGAGGAAAGCTCCTCCCCTTCTTGTTTTCAGTGAGGTTTATAGGTGGGATGTGTTGTTCATTATAGGTCATCCTGGTTCAAATGGAGACACCCAGATTTATCTATATAAAATGCATTTCAAGACCTGCACAAGAGAAACTCCTTTTCATACAAAAGCAATTCCTTGTTCTTGACACATCTTGGCTCCTCCAGCATGTGGGGGAAGTCAAGCGTGCATCAAACTGAAGTTGGGCAGTTCTAAGGGAGAAACAAATCAACCACAGCCTTGATTCTGTCCATCCAAGCAAACCCAGATGGGTAGGCAAAGCCTGGGGGTGAAAAGAAGAAGAAAAAGCAATGTTTGCTCCTAAAACGCCTTAAGTAATTATATTTTAGCATAGGCTTTTAAAAAAAATGCTACAGATTAGTTTTGGCGGCCTTAGTGGTTGTGGGGGAGCTGTGTTGTTATTCCATTAAACAGGAACATATGTAAGCCCTAAGCCAGGATGTATATCAGCTTCCAGCCAGCTTAATGTCTCCTGAATAATAGAAATTTAAAGTTGGAAGCCTCAGACGTCACACAGTGAAACCCTCTGCTCAATGCAGGATCTGCAGTGCAGGATGCAACTAGAGGAAACAGCCGTAGCTCATCCATACACCATCTCTTTTGCATGTCATAGGTCCCAGCATCCCCAGGTAAGGCTGGGAGAGAATCCTGTCTGATTTGGTATAAAGGTGTGGCTTGTGATGCTTATTTAAAGGAAAGAGAGCAAGTGCAAAGCCTTTTGTGGTCCTGGAATTGATGAGATATCTCAGGTTAGCTACTTAGTTGAACCTCAAAACTAGCCAGGTGATAGCTCAAGAAATATCATGTCATTTCCCCCCCCCCCTTTAAAACAGTGAAATGCTGGTTACTGTAAGGTGCTTCCTGCCATCTATTAGAGAAGGGCCATAGCCATAGGTAGAGCATCTGCTCTGCATGCAGAAGGTCCTAGTTTCAATCAACAGCATCTCCAGTTAGGGCTGGGACAGACCTCCTGCCTGAAATCCTAGAGAGCCACTCCCAGCCAGTAAAGACAATACAGAGATAAATGCACCGAGTCATGAACTTTCCCATGTTCCTTCCCAACTACAACATCCCTGGAAGATTGCCAGTTCAGCCTCTGCCTAAGTACCTCCAGCAAAGATAATCCCATCACCTCGCAAGGGAGCATCTCCCCCTGCCAAAGAGAGCTTATTGTTAGGTAGTTTCTCCTAATGATTACCTAGAAACTGCTTCCTTGCAATTTCCTCTCATTAATTCTAGTTCTGCCCTCTGGAGCAACCAGTGACAAGCCTCCTCCATCTTCTGTATGACAGCCCAACAGATATTTGAAGACAGCTGTCATGTCTCCCCTTAATTTTTTCTTCTTCAAGCTAAACCTACACCCAGCTCATTCCACTTTTCTTCATAGGACTTGGTTTTCCAGACAGACCCTTCACCATCCTAGCTGCCCTCTTCAGGACATGCAACAGTTTGCAAATGCCATTCTTAAAAGTGGTATCCAGAACTGGACACAGTCCTCCAGATGAGGCTTGAAATATAATTGCATCTCATTGAGATGCCTCACTTCCTGGTTGCACCTTTTTGGATCTCCTTATGACCTTGCATGCCCCTTGCATTGAAGCCCTCTCATTTGCCAGTGTTCTTCTTCCAATGTGGCATCCTGGGATCCTTAACCCTCTCCTGACCCTGATACTTTAGGAAAGGGGGAGGGGTTAACTTGGTAAACCAGATTACACAATGAAATAAAGAGAGCAAAATAGTGCTGTAGTCAACACTAGCTGCACTGGCAAGCAGATTCTCCTCCACATCCCCAGAGAAGGGCTATAATTTAAAAGGTAGCAGCTTTGAGGCACAAAATAACGTTTCAGTCTGCCCTCCTGTTAGAAGGGGCAGCCTAGAAACAGTAGCTTCCTTTAAACCCATTTAGTGGCCCTAGTATCCCAGAGCAAGTCACAACCATTTAAAGTACAACATCAAAAACAGCTTAAAAGAAATCACAATCACAAGGCGTATGCCTGAACATATATACCTCAGGTGTCAAAGGACAAAGAGGTGCATCTTTGGTGTTTATGGTCCACCTTCAAGGGGCTTAAGGAGACATGCATGGTTCCCCTCATTCTCATTTAATCCCCATGACAACCCTGTGGGGTAGGTTAGGCCAAGAGGCAGCGACTGGTCCAAGGTGAAGTTCATAGCTGAGTGAGGATTTGAACCATGGTCTCGCAAACTTTAACCACTGTACCACACCAGCTCTTCATTGCATGAGCCCACTAAACATTAGTACATCCAGCTCAATATTGCCTACACTGACTGGCAGCAGCTCCCCAGGGTTTCAGGCAGTGATATCTGCTAGCCTTACCTGGAGATGCCAGGGATTGAACCGGGGCATTCTGCACCATGCACGTATTGGGAGCTGAATGATGAAGAGGACAGAAAGAAAAGAGAAAACTGTGCTTGCCTGTACAGCTGTAATGCTCACTTCAGTGGCGTTGCAGAATGTGGGGTGAGTGAGAAGTTTAGCATGAAGGGAAACATCAAGGGGAATAAAAGTCGGCTGGCAAAGAGAGACCTGAGGGAGAGGAGGGAGGGGAAGGGAAGAGTGTGCAGCTGAGATGAGGGAAAGTGGGTGCATAGTAACAGACCTGGAAGGAGCCTGCTCTGACAAGAGACTGTGATCCAATTAGTGGCAAATAACTGACATCCTTGTCATGTAACCAACAGTGATTTCGGGTTGGGTTCTTTGGTGACTTTGTTTATTCATTGTTATCATTGTTAATTAATTGGGTATCTTAACTGTTTCAATCCATAAAGAAATACTGCTCAAGATGCCATTAGACTCAAAGATTGATTGCCTGTCTGCCTCTGTTGAAACTGAGCACACAAGAGGGCTGGCTAGATCTGAGCACAGCGCCACCTAGTGGTGGGAGAGAGGGGGCTAACTTCTATCATTACAGCATGCAATAGGAAGGAATGACGTGAAAAGAGGTCTCTGGGCCTCATTCAGCACCCAGAGGCTTTGAGAGCATGACCTGGAAGATGCACAACTCATCTGCGAAGGATGCAGGTTGGTTTCCAGGCACCCCGGGGCTCCTGGGCAATTGATGGAGAGGGCCAGTGACTCCCATAGATAGATGATTGGACATCTGCCTTGCATGCAGAAGGTCCCAGGATCGATCCCCAGCTTCTGCAGGTAGGGCTGGGAGAGCCTCTGCCTGAAGCACTGGAGAGCTGCCAGTCAGTGCAGACAATACTGGACTAGGGGGACCCAATGTCTGACTTGGTCTAAAGCAACTTCTCATGTTCTGGTGTTCCTAAACCAGTGAAGGCTCAAAAACCAAATCAAAAGGTTTATTTAGGGCAAAGGCTAAAAAGAGGAAAATGGGGGAAACAGTAGGTGGTGTTCAACTAGGTTTTAATCAAGAGCATACCCATTGAAATTGATGAGCATGACTGAGTTCAGTCCATTCACTTCAGTAGGTCTACTCTAAGTAAAACCTAGTTGGCTACCACCCAGTATGCATAACCAAAAGGAAAGTAAAATACTTACCTGGATTATTGGTCTACCTAATCCATTGTTTCCCAAACTTGGGTCTGCAGCTGTTGTTGGACTACAACTCCCATCGTCTCTAGTTGGCAGGACCAGTGGTCATGTATTATGGGAACTGTGGTCCAAAAAGAGCTGGAGGCCCAATTTGGGAAACACTGTTCTAGTCCTATAGTAGGCAAATGAACATAGCAAAGAGTTATGCCTAAGGTCACCCCCACAGGGGTAGCCTGATCATAGCTGTCAACTTTCAGATTTGAAAATAAGGGATCAGCAGCTTCACCTGTCCCAGAGACAGTCTACGGGATATCTAACAATCCGGGATAGCCATGGGAAGCAGCGGGAAACGGCGCTGACATAAGGGAATTTCCTGCAAGAAAAGGGAAGGTTGACAGCTATGAGCCTGATGGAGTCCATCTAAAGCAGTTTCCTATGTTCCATTGCTATAGCCTTGTCCTCCCTGTAGAACGGGGGTGGGGAACCTGCGACTACATCGGATACTGCCTTGTACCAAGTCTGACCATTGGTAAATCTGTGTTGTTGGCACTGGCTGACAGCTGCTCCCCAGGCAGGGAACACCCCCAGCCTTACCTGGAGATGCTAGGGATTGAACCTGGGGTCTTCTCCATGCAAGGCAGATGCTCTTCCACTGCGATCCTTCATCATCACCACTGCTGACCCTCATGATCTCTGACCTTATGGGGGCTAGAATCCAAAATTTCTGGATGGCAGCACTTTGGGTGCCTCTTGCTTAGGAGGAAGAAAAAACTAGACAAATACAATTATCCTTTTCATCAAGAGGCACAGAAGCACACAAAACAGTGGCAATACACAAACGAAGAGTTAACAAAAAGAAATGCTGCTTCCTTAACAAACCTTATTTTTTATTATTATTCTTTCACGAGAAGAGGAATGAATAGGCACCACACATTTCATGCAGACACATCAATCTCTTTATCCCAAGACAAGCCTACTCTAGCTTTGTACTAGACCTAATTAGGTTTTAAATGAGATTCCAGCACCCATAATAGCATATTCTGATTGTTCTTTTTATATTGCGCAGGTCCCGAACATTCCTCAAGTCTACATTATTAAACACCAAACCACCACCTGTTCACATTCACAGGGTGAGGCCACGCATCGCAGCCTCGCAGCCCACCCTCACGCAACCTGCAGGCACATTCCGCCTCCCACCAAGATACATCAGCTGGTGTTTAGTGCATGCACAGCCCGGCCTGTGCGATTGTCATGGTCTACAAAATCTTAAAGCATTGCAATCTATAAAAATCAAGTGCATGGTGACCTGTTTGCATGATTTTGGCTCACAGCAGGGATGTGTGTGTTGGTTGCGCATGGATAATTTTAAAAATAATTATTTTCCAGACTGAAGATGGTAAAAAACTATATTTCAGGCTTGGGCACTGGGAATACTATGTAGTGTTTGTTTTCCTAAAGACTCCTATGCATTAGGAGAATAAGAACATAAGCAGAGCCTGCTGATCAGGACAGTGGCCTGTCTAGTCCAGCATCGACACAGTAGCCAACTAGATGCCTGTGGGAAACCCACAAGCAGGACCTGAGCACAAGAGTCCTCGCCCCTCCTGTGGCTTCCAGTGACTGGTATGCAGAAGCATCCACACTCCCAATTGTGGAGGCAGAGCATAGCCCCCGTGGTTAGCAGCCCTGATAGCCTTTTCCTCCACAAATAGTCCAATCCTCTTTTAAAGCCATACAGGTAGATGACTGTTGCTGACTCCTGCAGGAGCAAGTTGCACAGAAGAATGTTGTGAGTCGAGGACCCACCACCCGCATAGGAGTATAATAAGACACAAAGACACATTATTTTAGGTTAATGGGCAAAATTAGGCCACAACTTTTATTGGTTACAGCATGTGAGTAGTATTCGCTTAGGCACTGGATGAAACAGCAATACAAGACTCCACCCCACTCAGCAGGGAGTCATATCAGGGTTAACAACCAATGGGAGGAGCTTGTTGATGCAAATACATCTGGAAGTTCCCCCATGATGTCACCAGGGGTCGTGCCATGGCCCTAGCCACCAGCAGGGCATTGAACAGGATCCACGATCGCAGGATTCCTTTAGCAGAATACCCAAAAGAGGAGGGGTAGATGATGGCCCATACCCAATCCTCCAACACAGCACACATATTCCAATGCCAAACTTCCAATACCAGAAAGTTGTGACAAATTGCTATGAGGTAGGCGAAAAAAACGAGAGGCTGGTGCCAATTTGCCAAATGGATAAAAAAAGTCCTACCAGGCCCCTTGGGCAACCAAGGCAACCATCTGAAGTCCATAGCAAGGTCAATATGCAAAAGAAGCTGACCTAAGAGGGAGGGAGGGAGGGAGGGAGATCCGAAGAAAGCAGGAACAGACTGGGAGCTGAGCACTGCCACAGCTGTTTAAATGTGGCTAGCACCACCCACCAGCCGGCCCTGTTGGCCAGCTGAAAGGTTTGGCCACGGCAGCAGAAGATATCAGGAGCAGGGAGCTGAGTACGCCTTCCTACCCCTGTGGGAAGCTGCTCCCGCTCACAACCCCTCCCCTCTGGGAGGAGGAGAGGCCCTGCTGGATTAAATCAAGGGTCCATCTAGCCCTGTGCCCTATTTCTCACAGTGACCTATCAGATGTCCAACAATCATGGTGACCAGTCAAGAGCCAACAAACAGGGCTTGAAAGCAACAGCCTTCCTCCTTTGTCTCCAGTGTCTGATATTCTGCAATATACTGCGCCTGTAACATGGAGGTTTCTATTCCTATCGTGGCTAATTAAAATGTAAGGTTGGTGCTGCTAGATCAGACTACATCTCTCAGAAGCCCACGAGTAGTCCTTGAAACCAGAAGCCATGTTCTGCTGCGCAGATGATGCCATTTCCCATCAGACAGAGTCTGAAACAAAAGTCCTGATATCCTAGTTTGGACCGCATAGTCTGGATGGTGGAGGAAGGCCTGACCACAAACCTCAATAACTACAGGGGCCGGGAGGAATAAACAAACCTTGGTGGGACACCAGTGCTAGGACTCAGCCAGGGAGCCGGCAGAATCAGGAGATGCAATGAATCCAGACCAACCACAGAAATATTAGTTAAAGGCTTGCCAAAATCACCCGAGGGCCTTCTCGGTAGTGGTGCCCTCCCTGTGGTGGAATGCCCTCCCTTCAGATGTCAAGGAGATAAAGAATTATACAATTTTTAGAAGACATGTGAAAGTAGCCCTGAATTGGGAGGTTTTTAAGGCTTGTTGTTTTATTATGTTTTTAGATATGCCGTTAGCCACCCAGAGTGGCTGGGGAAACCCAACCAGATGGGCAGGGTATAAATAATTAAATTATTTTTTTATTAGTATTTCCCCCAGGACAGAAGAACCTAAGAAGAGCCTGCTGCATCAAGCCTGTGGGCCATCTTGTCCAGTATCGTGCTCTCGCAATGGCCAACCCAATGCCCATGGGAAGCATGCAAACAGGACCCGAGAGCAACAACAACTCTCCTGACTTGTGATTCCCAGCAACTGATGTTTAGAGGCATATCGCCTCCGGCAGTGGAGGTGGCAGAGTCAACAACACACCTGAACTGAAGCCCAGAGCAGAATTGTGTGGCTGGCAACAGAAAGGCCTGCTCAGGAGGAGACATCATAACGTCAAATGGCCTCCAGAGAGGGGCCTCACAGATGTTCCACAAACTGCTGGGGAAACACGGGTAGCTATAAAACATTTTGTTTGCTGCCTGACTATTACTAGTGGAACATGAAGGGGTCAGAGAGCAACTCCCCTGTGGGGAAAGATTACCACCTCAGGGGCTTTTAAGCTTACAAAATAATCTAGTAATAGGGTTGGGATATGAAAAATAGTATATGAAATTTTGTGTACTATATATAGGAATACGTTTTCCTCCCTCTCTCATAAGGGTGGAGCCTGGGGTCCTTCAATAAAGCTGAATGTTGAAGGATTCAGGACAGACGAAATGAAAACAAAATGGCGCCAGAGTGCATATTGAGAGGTAATGGTTAGAGACCAGGCTTCAAATCTCCACTCAGCCATGAAGCTCACAGTGGGACAGCCTCAAGGGGTTGCCGTGGGGGATAAAATGAGGAGGGAGAGAACCATGAATGCCATTTTGAGCTCCTTGGAGAAAAAGGTGAGATAGAAATGCAACAAAGAAATAAATCAATGACTCTGTTTACCCTCCACTGTCAGAGGTAGTGTGCTCCCGAATACCAACTGCAGGAAGGGAGAAGGCTATTGCGCTCATGGCCTGCTTGCAGGCATCTCAGAAGCGTCTGGCTGGCCACTGTGACAACAGGGTGCTGAGCAAGATGAGCCCCTGGCATGATCCACCAGAGCCCTTCTTATCTTTTTGGAATTCCTCTTCATTATTATTATTATTTTAAGATATTTATTAAGATTTTCAAAGTATTACAAAACAAAAAGAAAAAGAAAAAAGAGAAAATACAAAGTAAAAATAGTTAAAAGCAATTCATTCCTTCCATTGCTTAGCCTTCATTTGCTTATTTCCAGGACCTCCTCACACCTCCCTTTTTTGTATTCCAGTTCAGTTATTAGTTCAACAAATCCCTCCCCTCTTTATGTATCCTAATCATTAATCATAAAATATTGTAATTTTAGATTTTTACCTATTAATAAACCATTTTTCATATTCCCTTATAACATTTCAGCTAAAGACCACTTAGTTTCTATCCAACATCATTCTAACATTCATTAATTTTGCAATGTTTCTGTAAATAGTCTTTAAACTTTTTCCAATCTTCTTCCATCGACTCTTCTCCCTGGTCTCGGATTCTGCCAGTCATTTCCGCCAGTTCCATATAGTCCATCACCTTCATCTGCCATTCTTCCAAGGTGGGTAGATCTTGTGTCTTCCAATACTTTGCAATGAGTATTCTTGCTGCTGTTGTGGCATACATAAAAAAAGTTCTGTCCTTCTTTGGCACCAATTGGCCGACTATGCCTAGGAGAAAGGCTTCTGGTTTCTTCAAAAAGGTATATTTAAATACCTTTTTCAATTCATTATATATCATCTCCCAGAAAGCCTTGATCCTTGGGCACGTACACCAAAGGTGAAAGAATGTACCTTCATTTTCTTTACATTTCCAACATTTATTATCGGGCGAATGGTAGATTTTTGCAAGCTTGACTGGTGTCATGTACCACCTGTGTATCATTTTCATAATATTCTCTCTTAGGGCATTACATGCCGTAAATTTCATACCTGTGGTCCACAACTGTTCCCAGTCAGCAAACATAATATTATGACCAAGATCTTGTGCCCATTTAATCATAGCAGATTTCACCGTTTCATCCTGAGTATTCCATTTCAACAGCAAGTTATACATTTTTGACAAAATCTTAGTTTTGGGTTCTAACAGTTCTGTTTCCAATTTTGATTTTTCCACCTGGAAGCCAATTTTCTTATCCAAATTGTATGCCTCCATTATCTGATAATAACGAAGCCAGTCTCGCACTTTGTCTTTTAATTTCTCAAAACTCTGCAATTTCAATTTGTCTCCTTCTTGTTCCAAAATTTCCCAATATTTCGGCCATTTGGCCTCCATATTGAGCCTTTTCTGAGCCTTTGCTTCCATCGGTGACAACCACCTTGGGGTTTGGTTTCAAGTAAGTCCTTATATCTTATCCAGACATTTAACAATGCTTTCCTGACAATATGGTTTTTAAATGCTTTATGTGCTTTAACCTTGTCATACCACAAATATGCATGCCACCCAAAAACATTATTAAAACCTTCTAAATCCAAAATGTCTGTGTTCTCAAGAAGCAGCCATTCTTTCAACCAGCAGAATGCTGCTGATTCATAATAAAGTTTAAGGTCTGGCAGGGCAAATCCACCTCTATCCTTTGCGTCGGTTAATATTTTAAATTTTATTCTGGGCTTCTTGCCCTGCCAGACAAATCTAGAAATGTCTCTCTGCCACTTCTTGAAACAGTCCATTTTGTCCAATATTTGCAATGATTGAAACAAAAATAACATTCTTGGCAATACATTCATCTTTATAACAGCAATTCGACCTAACAAGGAAAGCTTCATGTTTGACCATATCTCTAAATCCTTTTTCACTTCTGACCAACATTTCTCATAATTGTCTTTAAATAGATTTAAATTCTTAGCAGTCATGTTAACCCCCAGGTATTTTACTTTCTTAACCAATGTTAAACCTGTCTCCTTCTTGAAACCTCTCTTTCTCAATCAGTGTTAAATTTTTCTCAAGCACCTTAGTTTTTAACTTGTTCAACTTAAATCCTGCCACATGACCAAATTCCTGAATCAATTCTAATACTCTTTTAGTACTAGATTCTGGCTCCTGTAATGTCAATACTAAATCGTCTGCAAAAGCTTTCAATTTGTACTGTTTAGCTCCGACCTGTATACCTTTAATCAGTCGGTCCCTTCTGATCATATTTAGCAAAACCTCCAGGACCGAAATAAACAGCAATGGGGAAATTGGGCAGCCTTGTCGTTGGAATTCCTCTTCAGCACAAGTTGTGCAACTGGATAGCTCACTGCTGGTATCAGCATGTGTGCACAAAAACTAGCACCTTGCCCCTCTGGACAGCTGCCCTACCTCACCAGCTGATGGAGAATCCCAGCCTTGCAGTAGCCCTGTTAAGGGAAACCAGACAGCAACTGGTTTTCAGTAGCATAGTGCTTCTGAGAATGGAGGCTTATGGTTTATTGCCATTGGCAGAACTCATGAATCTGCCTAATTCGGGGTGGGCAAGCTGTGGTCTTCAAGATGCCACTGGACTCCAGTTCCCAGCAGTGGTCAATGGTCAGGGAATATGGGAGGTGGAGAACTGCTGAATGGCCACAGGTTCCCCATCCCTAGATTAATCCTAAATAACATAAGAACCTAAGAAGAGACAGCCTAGTGGATCGGACCCAAGACCCACCTAACCCAGCATCCTGTCCTTTCAGTGGTAACCAGGGAGGCCTCAAAGCAGGACCTGAACACAACAGCACACACCCCACCTGTGATTTCCAGCAACTGGTATTCAGGGGCACACTAACTCTGACAGTGTAGGAAGTGCAAAGCCATTATGACCAGCAACGATTGATATCTGCCATGCATTTGTCTAACCCTCTCCTAAAGCCATTTTGTCTAACAGCTCCATTATCACATATTGTGGTGGCAAATTCCACAAAGTGAGTGTGCATTGTGTGAAGAAGAGGCTGAATCCACTGCCTATAAAATGTTAGCTCCTTAGTATGAGCATTACAGGTCTCTCTCTCTCTCTCTCTCTCACACACACACACACACACACACACACACACACACACACATGCACAGACTGCTTGCCTGCCTGCCTGCCTGCCTGCCTGCCAAAATATTATGTCTGGGGCCAGCCAGCTTCAAATGAGATACAAATGTTATCTCCATGGTACCGTAATTATATCTCAAGCTGCCCCCATCACTGATTCTGCTTCTACCTCAGAACTGATTTGCCCACACATTCCGCCCAAAATAGACTGACTTTTCATCAGCAAGGGACCTTTGCTAATTTCTTGTTATTAGAATTCAACTTCATTTACATTCGCCAATTGATAACTGGCTTCAGTTTGATGTGAAGACCAAGAGGCACCCAATGAAAGAAGATGAAGATGATGAAAAAACAGTGTGCTGTAGTGGTTAGAGTGTAAGACTTGTATCCCAGGGTTCAAATCCCCACTCGACCATGAAGCTCACGGGGCCAGGGACTGCATCTCAGCCTAACCTACCTCCACAGGGTTGCTTTGGGGATTAAATGAGGAAGAAGAGAACAAGCAATAACTAAATAAATAATAATGAAGAACGCCAAATAGGAGCCTCCCCCTCAGAACCCATGGAATAACTAGCCTATTTGACCTAGAGAGTTGTCCTTCTGAACCCCAAAATTGACAGTCAGTTTGACCATGACACTTAGAAGGAGTATAACTCCACCCCATCCATTGCATTCACTCTCAGAGCATAACTGTCTGCAGTGCCCTAATGGAAGGAGGAAAGACCTTCCTCCACTTACACTGAGCATTTATAGGAAATAATTAGGGCTGCCAAACAGATTTTATATCTTTTTAAAATGTTATCTGCTCTTAGCTGATTGATTAAATTTGGAAATGTACACATATTTACCCAAATATCAGTATAGAGGCCCTTTTCCGGGTATGAAAGGGGGACTATTTTATTTTTCATTCAGTGTTCCAGTAGCCTGCCTAAAATAATAATAAATAGCACACCTTTAACCAGTGTTATTAAAATTTGCCTGCATCGGTTAACTCTCATCCCCACTGATTAAGCTTTGGTCAATTAATCTTTCAACCATTCTAGTCAGAGCTTGCAGCCCTAGAAACAATCAAACAAATCAGCTAGATAATTTTCTCCATGAGTGTCATTGAATAAGCATAGGGTAGGAATTTGGTTTCGTTTGCATCTTAATGCAAAGCAGCTTAATTTGCACTTCCTAGGATAATAAGCATAAGATAATAAGCAAACACAGCTTACTTTTGAAATTTGCACTTCTTTAGATTTTGCAACGCAGTTCTCCTATCCAAAATGTGCACAAAGATGCATTAAATTAGGGCAAACTGCTTGCAAAATGTGCATGTTAGGCAGGATCACGTCCAAAAATGGGTATTTTAGAGAAAATGCAAACTAAAATGCTGGTGAATTTACATGAGGACTTTTTTTTAAGAAATCAAGTTGCTGCAGCCATGTTGCAAACTGAATTTGACTGGGGGTTGGGGAGGGAGAGAGAGAAACTAAGATAAACCAAAACATACGCAATCATCTATGCTTCTGACTTATATACTGCCCTTTGCTGATAAGCCCCTAGGGCATTTAATTTGATTATTCTTCACCTTTACTGTGGAAGCTCACCTCAGCATTCAGCTAGTCAAAACATTATTGTGTGGAGAAGCTGACATTTACTGGTAAGCCCTAGGATTTGGAAAGGTTCAAAGGGAAATTGACCAAGAAGCATCAGCAATGAAATGCCTTAAAAAATATATATGACCCAAAGTCATCCATGTTTCTAACATTTCTAGGTAACATACATTAACAATGAACGTAACCTGTTGCCATGTTGCTGATATCAGCCCTTCTACTTCCATTGTTCCAGTATGAATCCTTATTGCGGTGAAAATGATGCCATGCACAAGAAAAAGGTCTCAGTAGTAAAAGTAAAAGGTAAAGGACCCCTGGACCGTTAAGCCCAGTCAAAGGCAACTATGGGGTTGTGGCACTCATCTCGCTTTCAGGCTGAGGGAGCCAGTGTTTGTCCACAGACAGCTTTCTGGGTCATGTGGCCAGCAGGACTAAACCGCTTCTGGTGCAATGGGACACCATGATGGAAGCCAGAGTGCATGGAAACACTTAACCTTCCTGCCACAGCAGTACTTACCATATTTTTCGCTCTATAACACGCACCTGACCATAACACACACGTAGTTTTTAGAGGAGGAAAACAAGAAAAAAATATTCTAAACGAAACAGTGGATGTATGATTTTTGTGGTTCATGCTGTGGCCACAGACGTGATCTGACGGTGAGTTTGGGGTAGCCCAATGCAAAAATCCTGAGGATCCATGTGGATCCATGCTTTGTAACCACGTTTTTGCGCAATTGCAGCCCCATGAAACAGTGGGTGGGTGTGTGTTTTGGTGCAGGCTGTAGCCATGGATATGCTATGTGATCTGATGGTGAACTTGGGGTGACCCAGTGCAAAAATCCTGAGGATCCATGTGGATCCGTGCTTTGTAACCACGTTTTAAGTGGGGAGGGAAGGAAAAGCATTCAAGGGACAAGGAGCACGCGTGGGGTGTGTGGAGAAGGATGCTGCTAATAATGCAGGAGAGGGGTTTAAGGGGAGAAGGAACACGCGTGGGGTGTGTGGAGAAGGATGCTGCTAATGATGCAGGTGAGGGGTTTAAGGGGAGAAGGAACACGCGTGGGGTGTGTGGAGAAGGATGCTGCTAATGATGCAGGAGAGGGATTTAAGGGGAGAAGGAACACGCGTGGGGTGTATAGAGAAGGATGCTGCTAATGATGCAGGAGAGGGGTTTAAGGGGAGAAGGAGCTCGCGTGGGGTGTGTGGAGAAGGATGCTGCTAATGATGCAGGAGAGGGGTTTAAGGGGAGAAGGGGCTCGCGTGGGGTGTGTGGAAAAGGAGCTTTTCGGCGAGCTGAGCGGGGAGGGGGGAGGGAAAGAGCACTGTTGCTTTAAAGGAGCCAACCGGACAGCAGCCACTTACAGCAGTGTAAACAGCTCCTTTCCTCTCCCACTTTGCTCCTTCTCTGCCTCTTTGCTGCTTTACGCAGCTAATGGCGAATCCCCTGCAACCCAAGTCCTGCTCAGCGGATCAGCTGAGACGCTGGGAGAATCGTAATTTCCCCCTCTCCCTCACCCCGTGCCCTCCTGTCCCCAGCAGCCTTTTAAAAAACTTTTTTACTGGTTTTCTCTGCGCTCGTGGCTCAGAGCCCTCCTCTGCCCTGCCGTCCCTCTGCAGCCTCATTGCTCCGTTTAGAGAGCGTTGCTAGCTGAGGCTGCAGCAGCTGTTGCTGGCTACACGGCGCTTTTCCGGCTCGCTATGGCTCCCGTCTGTCCCTCCTCCCATGTAAGCGCTGCTGCCCGCTTTACTGCCATGGCTCTCCTTCCCTCCCTCCTCCTCAGCCCCTCTCCCTCCTCCTGGCTGTAAAGCAAGCAAAGCTAGAGCCGTGCAAAGCCCTGCAAGCGGCTCCCGCTTTGCTTGACTGACGGCAGCCATGGCTCCGGTCGAGTGCATTCGCTCTGTAACACGCACAGGCATTTTCCCTTACTTTCTAGGAGCAAAAAAGTGCGTGTTTTGGAGCGAAAATTACGGTATTTATCTGCTTGCACTGGTTTGCTTTCGAACTGCTAGGTTGGCAGGAGCTGGGACAGAGCAATGGGAGCTCACCCCGTCACGGGGATTTGAACCGCTGACCTTCCGATCAGCAAGCCCAAGAGGCTCAGTGGTTTAAACCACAGGACCACCCGCGTCCCTATTGGTCTCAGTAGCAGGTTTGATGGAACCCCAACATTATGGGGAGGAAAACCTATGTGAGAGGGAATCTAGAACAGTGCAGTGAGGATTGTGAGGACTCAGGGGCCATGGGATGTTGACTGATTATTAACATAAGAACATTAAAAAGCCCTGATGGTCAGGTCAATAGGCCATCTATTCCACCAACTTGTTCTAACAATGGCCACCCACATGCCAGTGGGAAAGGAGCAAGCAGGACCCTAGTACAAGTGCATTAGTAGTAGTAGTAGTAGTAGTAGTAGTAGTAGTATTAAATTTATATACCGCCCTATACCCAGAGGTCTCAGGGCAGTTCACAGAAAAGATCACAATATATAAAATTAAAATAAAAACAATAACCCAATAACACCCCCCCAAAAAAGAGCATCATTTTTAAATGGGCCTAGGATGTCAATCAAGTCAACCAAAGGCCTGGTTAAAAAGGAACATTTTTGCCTGGCGCCTAAAGGTGTATAATGAAGGCACTAGGCAAACTTCCCTAGGGAGAGCATTCCACAGATGGGAAGCCACTGCAGAGAAGGCCCCGTCATTGTGTTGTCACCCTCCAGACCTCTCAGGGAGGAGGCACACAAAGAAGGGCATCAGAAGATGATCTTGGGGTCCAGGTAGGTTCATATGGAAAGAGGGGGTCCCTCCTGCGGTTTCCAGCAACTGGTCTTCAGAAGCATTGTTGCCTCCAACTGTGAAGGCAGAGCAGATCCATCATGCTTTATGCAATACTCATTCTATATCTGTCGTTCTATCTATCTACCTACAGTGGTACCTCGGGTTACAGACGCTTCAGGTTACAGACGCTTCAGGTTACAGACGCTTCAAGTTACAGACTCCAGAAATAGTACCTCGGGTTAAGAACTTTGCCCCAGGACAAGAATGGAAATTGCGCGCCAGTGGCAGCAGGAGGCCCCATTAGCTAAAGTGGTACCTAAGGTTAAGAACACACCTCTGGAACGAATTAAGTTCTTAACCCGAAGTACCACTGTATCTACGGTATATCTATCTATCTATCTATCTATCTATCTATCTATCATCTCTCTATCATCTCTCTATCATCATCATCATCTATCATCTATCTATCTATCATCTATCATCTATCTATCATCTATCATTCATTAGATTTCCACAAGTTTCACATAGGCATTCTAATACATAATATTTTTTCTTTTGTTTGATCAACTTCCCGTTCCATTTTCCATGGTGTTTTGTTTTTTTTTAAAAAAAATCCTCCCCTTTGCTTCACCCTATCAATATTCTTTTAAAGCCATCTAAGTTGGTGGCCTCCTATAGGAGTGAGCTTCACAGTAACTATTCACTACATGAAGATGTTACTTTCTTTTATCTGCCCTGAATTTTCTTTTGTTGCAGGCAAAAAATTGGAATCCAGGGGAAGAGGGAATGGTGTCAAGTGGAGGGGCACAGTGAGCAGCCTAGATTCAACATCCCGTTGCAGGTTTAATCTCTTCCATCTAATATATCGTCAGCCAAGGATTTTAAAATTCAATTCGAAATTCAGCCATGATGACTTTGCCTTTTAGCTCATGACATACTATGTTTCCTAGTATTATTCACATAAACGGCATTGTTGCCAAGAGGTGGGGGGTGGGGAGGGAGAGAGAGAGGAGGAGGGAACATCCTATTTAAGGAAATCTGCTTGGGTCATCTTGCTTCCTCGTATATTTTATAAGATGAAAGCAATCTGGCCAGTGTTAAGAGCAAATCAGAATCCAGCACTGATGGATCAAAGCCGGTAATCAAATGAAACCTTCTATTGACTTTTGTTTACAAGTTTGCAGCTGTGCTGCTGGGGTGAAAATGTGAGATTTCATTTCCTTTCCTTTCCTTCCGTGGGCAAATGGAGATAAGAGCATTGGGGCTTTCATTTCCCTTTTATATCAGATGGAAATCATCTGTGTACTTGCTGAATGATTTTTAAATTGCATTTTGGACACTGATGGTCAGAGGGAGGGGGGAACTGTGCAGTTTGTTAAGCTGTTCACATCTCCCTTTCAGTGGCATCCCCCCCCCCTTCCAGCTTTTTGTTATGCGCAAGCTATGTGAGAGCGCAGACATCGCTCTGCTATTCAGGAACATATTTGCCTGTGTCAAAAAGTGCCCATTCTTTTGACAATTTCCCCACAATGCCTACAAAAACGTTTGCCTATGCAATTATATTATGCTCTTTCTCGTTCTCCGCTTTGTTTACCTTCAGTAATGTCCCATAGCCAAAGCAATTGGATATGTAGTGCAGTTACATCACTCCAATCACCAGGTAATCCCTGGTTGGCTAGGATGACCAAGCTGCTTGATTCAAGAGGCACTGCTTCTTCACTCACAACTGGCTTTGTTTGCCCTCACTCGATATTATCTTGTAGCAAGACCAGATTTGCTACACATTGCCATGACACCATCCCATCCACAACATACCCACATATTTTCAGAAAGAACATAGCAGCAGTAACCAGAAAGGTGGAGAGACGTACAGAAGCAATAGTAGAGAAGGGAAGCAATACCCCACCATGTGTTGCTTGACTCTGAGCTCCCACCAGCCCCAGATAGCAGGACCAATAGACAGGGATGATGGGAACTTCAGTCCAGCAATATCAGGAGGGCCACAGGTTTATCATTCCAGTCTTACAGGAAAGAGGACAAAGTTAACAATGTATGGAGGGAATAGCACAGAAAGAAACTATAGTCAGCTCCAAACAGAAAGTGCCCCTTCTCTCTTGGTCCCTCGCTCTCTCTTCCTTCCCCTTGAGTAAACATTGGAGCAACTCCAGTCTGAAATGCCATCAGCTGTAGCAAGGTACTTGGCATAGCTATGTAAGTTAGTGCTCACCTCTATTGCCCACATTGAATTCTAAGGCTTTGCTCCTATGTGTGCCCTGTTGGTTGCTTAGCATGCAAACAGTGTGCAAGGGGAGAGGAACTGGCCCAATGGATCTATATATCAGGAAAAGCAGTGCTTTGGTGATTTGGTACTTTGGTGCAGGGGAAGAATATCTCCCCAAAGAAAGGTTGTAGGATTCACAAATGGTGCCTATTAGAATCCTCCCCCTCTCTGCATTCAGATGATACCTCTCCTGCCTACACCAGCAAATGCTTCAGGAGAAGCTGCAGAGAGAAGGGGGGGCACATGTGTAGGACATTGGTAATTTGGATAGCTGTGCTTCCTATTCACCTTAGTTGTTTGAGCATTAACTGAATGCCATCTCTCTCTTTTTCAGTACATCCCCTCATGTACAATGGGATGTAACATTTGGCTAAAGAGTCTGCGATAAAAAGAAGAAGCTTGCATCCCCCTGTCTGGCTGCAGCTGTTTACTCCTGTGCTCCAAAATGATTTCAGATTTTCCGACGCTCTTCCCCAGAAACACGGAGGCCATTGATTGCTTGCATGCACACTGCAAAGACATATGCAAATCTCAATTGTTCCAGCTTTGAAGAGCTCGTTATTTCAAATATTGTTTGACTTTGATATATGCTCAAATTTCTAAGATAGAAGAATGTTTCCCGTTGATTGAACTTGAGCTTTTTATCTTCACTCGCATGCCAAATAATGAGGAGAATAACTCTGTGCATTAACCCAGCAGTAACCTTGCATGTCCCTTTCCAACAATTTATAGGTCTGCAGAAGGAAAGGGGGGAAAGGGAATGGCTTATCTTAGCCGAATGTTAACCAAGTGACATTGTATGGGATATGAAATGGAACAGTTGTCCATAAGGCTGTCACCTGATGATAATGTTAATAATCTAAAAAAAACCTGCAGTCAATTAACTGGGTAAGGTTTTGATCAATTAAATCTGCATATTTTTGCATACAAGAGAGAACCATTGTTTCAAAGGGTAAAAAAATATGTCATGCTTAGGGAACCTTTTTGAGGAGGGTGGGCATGTTTCAGCATTGGGGTGGGGGGACAGAGGCAAAGGTGGGTGAGGCCAGAGCAATAGATTCACATCTATTCACATCTTTTCTTTGTACGGTAGGCTCTATTTCAGTCATGCAGAAGTCAGAGATTTCCATGCACACACATGATTCCTTAGTCAAGAGCTGTTATCACAGTTCTATGATACTTTCCAGCATGCCAGAAGCACTCAAGGAAGAGATGCATCCAGGTCAGTAAGGAGTGTGGCTCAGGAAGAGGCAGTGCAGCCAGGGAAGGAGGGAGGAGGAGTCACAAAGGCCAAATAGAGCTACCTCGAGGGCCACATTTGACCCTTGCAGCTGAGGTTCCTAATCCCTTTTTTAAGATGAAGCACAACTGGTAATACCTCCATTTCCAAAACTGCAGTTTTTTGAAATTCTAGAAAGCTACCTTCTAAAAAATGAAGTCTGCTTAATTCTGTCCACCTTTTAATTTAAAGTGCTGCAATCAAGACACCTAACTGAATAATTAACCAAACATTGCACACCAGTGCATCATTCTGCACTGACTAGGCAGAGACAGGTGGTTCAGTAGAGTCCCACCAACTTCAATGCTTCCAAGTCCATGTGTGCCAGTTGTTTGAAACTGCGGGGGGGGGTGCTGTTGCTCTCAGGTCCTGCTTTTGGCAGAAGATGCATCAGGATGGCTACCGCAAGTACTAGACCAAATAGGCCTGTGGCCTGATCCAGCAGGAGTCTTCTAACCTGGATGAGGGAGATCATCTGGAGCTGAGCATGGGACAATTACTGGTACATGAGAGAAATGAGGGTGAAACCGATTCATTTACTGCAAGCCCTTCTTGGCACTTGAGAAGTAAATCTTGCAAAGGATTGTGTCATCACAAGGTGCATTTTTTGAGACTGACACATGAGCTGTTTTAAGTGTTATCCTTTAGCACTGGAAACAAAACATCAGATTTGGCTGTTGACCAAGGTCAGTCTCCCTAAAATCTTAAGACCTACCAGTAAAATTCAAAGAGGTTTTGACATTTGCACATTTATTTGTGGAAATTTTTTTATTTTAAAAACCTGCCCTTCAGTGCAAAGTCCAAGAGTGGGTTACAGCAACACAGTAGTACAGTATTAAAATTAAGGTACATTCTTTCACCTTTGGTGGACGTGCCCAAGGATTAAGGTTTTCTGGGAGATGATTTATAATGAATTAAAAAAGGTATTTAAATATACCTTCTTGAAGAAACCAGAGGCCTTCCTCCTGGGTATAGTCGGCCAATTGGTGTTAAAGAAGGACAGAACTTTCTTTATGTATGCTACAACAGCAGCAAGAATACTTATTGCAAAGCATTGGAAGACACAAGACCTACCCACACTGGAAGAATGGCAGATGAAAATGATGGACTACATGGAATTGGCGGAAATGACTGGCAGAATCCGAGACCAGGGAGAAGAGTCGGTGGAAGAAGATTGGAAGAAATTTAAAGACTATTTACAGAAATATTGCAAAATTAATGAATGTTAGAATGATGTTGGATTGAAGTTAAGTGGTTTCTAGCTGTAATGGTATAAAAGAATATGGAAAAATTGGATTTTTAATACGTAAAAACTTAATGCTATAATATATTAAGATTAAAGATCAGGATAAAATAAGGAGGGAAAGGAATTGCTGAACTAATAAATTGAACTGGAATACAAAAAAGGGAGGCATGAGGAGGTCCGGGAAACAAGTAAATGAAAGATAAGTGATGAAAAGATGGAATTGTTTTTAATTGTTTTTTTTTTGTATTTTGTATTTTTCTTTTCTCTATTTTTCTTTTTCTTATCTATGTAACCTTTTTTTGAAACTTTAATAAATATCATTTTTTTAAAAAATAAAATTAAGACAATAATACACACATACATGCTATAAACTGGGGAACCTGTGGCCCTCCAGATGTTGTTGTACTCCAACACCCATCATTCCTGGTACTGGCTATGCTCCAAAAATGTCTGGAGGCACACAGGTTCATCGCCACTGTGTTATATGCACATCAGTATATACAGTAGATAAATGCTTAAGAGAGAGGGAACATTAGAGTAACTGGGTGTTCGTCTCTTTTATATTCATGACCTACAATTCTGCCTTGGCTGTCTTGGTTTCAAACAGTTCCTTTTCTGATACGGACTCAGCATTAATTTAATGCTCACAATAAAATTTGACTGGCATCACTTTTTGTCTCTGTAAACTAAACCAACAAACAAGCAAAGGAACACAGGAAACTGCCTTATGCTTAGTCCACCTAGCTCAGTACAGTGGTACCTTGGTTCTCGAACTTAATCCATTCCAGGAGTTCGTTCAACTCCCAAAACCATTTGATAACCAAGACGCGGCTTCTGATTGGCTGCAGGAGCTTCCTGAACTCAAGTGGAAGCCGCATCGGACATTCGGCTTCCGAAAAACGTTTGCAAACTGGAACACTTACTTCCAGGTTTGCAGTGCTCAGGAGCTGATTTGTTCGGCAACTAAGCCATTTGAGAACCGAGGTAACCACTGTATTGTCTACTCTTGACTGGCAGTGGCTCTCCAGGCATTCAGGAAGCAAGTCTCTCCCAAGCTTGTTTGAAGGTGCCAGGGATTGAACATGGGACCTTCTGCATGCAGAGAAGATGTCCCAACACTGAGCTCCGAAACTTCCTCAACAAACTTGTGTGGTGATGGGGGGAGGTTTAATGAGGGGGAAAGTCCCTTATTAACTAACATTCCATGATATGGTTGTGGTGTGTAATTTTGTTGTTGCTGTTGTTTAAACCGGCTTTCCCATAAGTACCCTTGAGCTAGGTGTTAATTCCATTTATTCATCAGCATCTAGGCCATCTCTACTTTATGTCAGGTCTTCTCTGGTTCCCAGAAATTCATATTATGGCAGATCATTCTCCATGATAAGGTTTGATTGTGATTGAGAAGAAAATGGAACACACAGTAGATGTAGAATTGGGAAACAGCCAGCCAGAATTGGAAATGAGGACTGGCCAGAGTTAGTTTCTTGGATAGATGTCAGGATGTCAAGGGTTGCATCCAGCTACTCAGTGTAGACCTACTTAAATTAATGAACCTATATGAGTCCTATCCTTTGCTTTCAGTGGGCCTACTCTTTGTAGGATTAACATCAGATACAGTCCAAGTCAGGAGGGGAAATTACTTTTTGCTGTTTGCTGCTGTGCCTCTGCTTTCTATGTTGTGCTTTTGAGCACACACACGAGAGAGAGAGAGAGAGAGAGAGAGAGAGAGAGAGAGATACTCTACCCTAGAAAGAAGAGCACTCTGCACATTCTCTGAAGCACCAGAATCCTGAAGAGGAATACCACTTGGATTTTAATGATCTTGGTCAGCAACTAGAACCCAGGCACAGATCAAGTGGCCCCTGTGGTAGAGTACCTGTGTGGCATGCGAAAGTGCCATGTTTCATCCCCAGCATCTCCTGCCAGAGATAGGATAGACTCCTGGCTGAAATCCTAGAGAGCCACTATCAGTCAGTGTCAAAAATACTGTTACATGTACCAAAGGCTAAATTTAGAAGAAGGAAGCTTCCATTGTTCTATTAACAGTGAACAGTACCACTGATGGATGCAATAGACCCAAGTTCTGATAACAATAACCAGGATCTCCTGGAACCCATAACTCCTCAAGAAGGTTCCAAGAAACACCAACCCCCTGAGCCATACTCCCCACATGAACCAGGGCCCTCCTCCCTGGGGATCCCATGCTCCATGGTTTGTGCTCACCAGTGCAGCTGAGAATGGATTGGGGGCCTTTAAAAGAGAGACTAGGATAGTGTTTCTCAAACTTGGGTCCCCAGCTGTTGTTGGACTACAAATCCCATCATCCCTAGCTAGCAGGACCAGTGGTCAGGGATGGTGCTAGTTGTAGTCCAACAACTGTTGGAGACCCTAGTCTGAAAAACACTGGCCTAGGATGAATAACCAGGGTCTGGAATGAAAAAAACATCATTGAAACACATTGAAGTGTGCATCACACACGAAAGCTCATACCTTGAAAGCTTATATTTAGTAGATCTTTAAGGTGCCACTGGAATTATTAAAAAATATTTTGTCACCTTTCATCTTGTTATTTATTATGACTAGCCACCTGAACTGAGACACATGATTACTCTCCCAGATGGTCCTGATATCTGGGTTGCTGACCATCCTTATTCTAGCAGCTATATTCTAGGTAGCCCACTGCCCTGAAGCTATACTTGGATGTGCTCAAGTTTCTAAATGGTTGTGCTCTAGGATCTAGATGGCAGATTGGGCTCTGCTTGTCCTGGCAATGCTGAAAGACATTTGCTCTCCAGGGCTTCAAAGATGAGTCCCTCCTAGCCTTCCCTGGAGAAGCCAGATATCTGTTACTGACTGTACCATCTGCCTCTACTTCCATGGGACACAATAGATTAATCCACCACAGATTAATCAACACAGAGATAACTTGCAGGTCACCTGGCAGCAGCTCAAAATGGAAATCACATGCTCAGGAGGCATTGATGGCCGCCAACTTGGATGGCTTTTAAATAGGATTGGACAATTCATGGAGGATACATCTATGAATGGCTACTAGCTGTGACTGAGGCTAGAATATACCTCCATGGTTGGAGGAAGTAATACTTCTGAACACCAGTTGGTGGAAACTTCAGAAGCAGAGAGTGCTCTTGTGGGTTTTGCTTGTGGGTTTCCCAGTGGGTTGGCCACTGTGAGAATAGGACGCAGGATTAGGTGAGCCATTGGCTTGATCCAGCAGGCTCTTGTTATGTTCTTAGGTTCTTAAATGCACCATCGCTCTTTAATGTAGCCAGTTCACACATTCAGCTGTAAGCCATCGAGTAATGAGCGTTATATACTTGCACATGTCCTCTCTTTTTCCATGTGGCTTTGTTTGGACATTAAGCTTTCCCATGTGCTATGTGCCCATGTGTCCAAGGCTATCTTTAGTCAGTATCAAGAGGCAACAAGCTGTGACACTTCTGGAAGCAAATGGATATAAACCATCACACACATTTGATATATAGGCCATGACATCTCTGATTCACCACATCCATAGATGTGGGATTTTTGAATATTTAGATTTGGGGGAAATGAGGATAGAAGATAGGGACCTATGTGAGAGAAAGGCCAGAGAAGGTTTATCCTCATGATGTGAGGCTGAGAAAGGGGGAAGCTTCCCCAGGTGGGAGCTGGGAAGACTCACTTATTTGTATGTGGATGGAAGATTAAGATATAATTATGCTAGAGGGCTATATACATATAATTTAGTGCCTCATTATATTACTATTATTATTGGTGCTAATTTTTAATTTTTTTCCTGTCTCTCTGTTCCTTTCCCCTTCCCCTTCTCATTTTCTTTTTCTCTTTCCTTTGCTGTTTCTCTCCTTCTTGATTCTATTTCTTTCAGATACTATTTTATTGTATTTTGAAAACTTTAACAAAAAATATTTGAAAGAAAGCAAACAAGGGGGGAAAAGCCTTCTGTATCTCTGACCTAAAAGATTCAGGTACTGTGTGGCAGGAAATACTTTTCTTTGCTCCCAAACCCTGGAGAATCCCTGCCAGTCAGGAAAAGACACCACTGGGATAGATGAACAAAGATACTGAGTGATATAAGGCAGATTCCAATGCCCTCCCCAAAGGTAACATCAGTACAGACATCAATCACATCACAGACAGGAGTTGCAACATTTAAGGGGTACAAATAAAATTATTATTATTATTATTATTGTTATTATTATTATTATTATTATTATTATTATTATTATTATTTCCACAGCCCCTTTCTCCATCCCGGCAGAAATAAGCTTACCGGCACCACTAAGGCAATGCTGAAGAGATACATTTGTAAGCCAGAAACCAAGAAGAAGGGAACTCCCTTTGGTGAGTCACCAGAATTGCTCCATAGTGGGGGTGCTGCTGCTGCTGCTGCTGCTGCTGCTGCTGCTGCAGGGGGAAAAACAGAATCCACACAAGGAAGGGAAAGATCAAAAAGCAAATATGTATTAACACATGGAGCATCTTTGCATAGGGTTTGTGCATGAGGTGGGGGGGTTTCCTGCCCCCCAAACAACCCCCCCACTCTGCCTCACTGGTCTGCATAAACAGTTAGGTTTTGGTACAATTAAATAATGATAATAACTCTCCCACTCCCCCCCCCAACCCTCTGCTAAAAAGCCTGGGGCACAACTGTGATTTCGGCTCACCCAGCTGCACACAAAGGTATCTCAGAATTAAAGGATGCTCTTCCAGGTTTTATGATCCTGCAGGAGAGAGGGAGCTGTGAATCTTGACGCATTTGTGTCGTGAGATTGGGGGATTTCTTTTCTCTCTTTTCTCCCCCCCCCCCACCACCCCAAATTAATATTCAGGTCACTTTGCACTATTTCACTCTTATTCCCCTCTCCCATCACCCAGCAAATGGGAGGGTTGTTCATTGGCATTCAGGAGCCCCATCCACTTCCTTGCAAGCATTTGGGGGAAACCTTGGGATGCCGGCTGAGGGGACCTCCTCAGATATAGGCTAGAGTTATTGTGTTGCCATGGCAACAGCGATGGCAACTGGCTGCAGAGCACTATAAATGAATGGGGAATGTCAGCAGAACCTGCTTGTTATGCTGGGTGCAGAATCCCACAGAGTTCTCCCTGTGAAGGATTTTCAAGCTCTGTCTGCATCCACCGCACTCTTGTTTGAATCACCAGATTTAATTGTGATTTTCTTTTCTTTTCCATTTGATGTAGGGTAAGAATGTTTGTGCTTCTGTAGAACTCTGAGGTGTTCAACACACTTTACAATTCTTGTCTCATCTAGCTTTAAAAGAAAAAAGAAAAACCAACAACCACAACCCTGCCATGTGAGTCAGATTAAAGAGGACTGATTTCCGTACTTTCCAATCTGGAAGAAAAGGAAGGGGGACAGTTACAAGACATGGGGGTGTTAGCAATGAAATAATGCAGATGGTGGCCAGAGAGAAAAGTCCTGATAACACATCGCTTAAGCAAGCTGAACAAAAAACATGTATAATTTGAGAAGGAAGGAATAGAGAGGGTTTGTCATCCTTCCTTCAGGCCTCCTACATAGACTGGAGACATTTAAACAAACATACAGAAGAAAATATCCCTCAAAGCTACAAAAATTGCATGCTTCTTTGGTAAAGATCTTGCCACTCTGTTTGGTTACTATGCAACACCTCCAGCCCTCCTTTTAAGAACAGAATTAACCCCTTAAGTTACAAACTGAACGATCCCTGCTGCTGCAATTATAATGGGGCAATGGCAAATTTACCCCTGTAAGCTGCTTGGGGCAAAGAATGCAGGTGATTTTTGTTTATGGTTTCCTCTATAAATCATAGAATCATAGAATTGTAGAGCTGGAAGGGATCACTAGTATCATCTAGTCCAATCCCCTGCAATGCAGGAATAATTTGCCCAATGTGGAGCTTGAATCTACAACCCTGAAATTAAGTCCCTTGTGCTCTACCATATGAAGTATCCCAGAGCTTAAGCGCCATGTGCTATGATGGTACATTACAAACACACAAAAGTGGAGTCCTGCTGAATCACACCAAAAGCCCATCTGATCCAGGATCCTGTTCTCATCATGGTCAATGAGATGGCCTAATGGGAAGCCTACAGAGATAACCTGAGAGCAACAACACTCTCCCCACTTGTGCCCCCAACAGCTGGCATTCAGAGGTAGAGTGTCTTCAGTCCTGGTAGGGTCAGCAGCTTTCACAGCTAGCTACTGATACTCTTTTCCTCTCTGTGAATTCAGCGAAACCGCTTTTAAAACCATCCAAACTGGAGACCATCACTGTGTCTCATGATAGTGAGTCCTTTATTTTTTACTATGTGCTATGTGAATAAGTGCTTCTTTTTGGCTTTCCTGAATCTTCCAACATTCCTTGCATGACCCCAGAACACAGGAAGCTGCTCAGTGGCAGAGCGCAGGCGGGGCGGGACTGGCACATGTCCTGGGGGTGGGGCACACTGCCTGTGGGGGCAGGGCACCCAGCGCGGACATGGTGGGGCAGCTGCAATCGCACCCTGCCGGGATCGCACTGCCGGAGGCAATGTGCTCCCCCCACACTCCTCTTCCTCCACCAGTGAAGCTGCTGTATGCTAACTCAGGCCATTGATTCATCTGGCTCTCTCTCTCTCTTGTCTACATTCACTGACAGTGGTCCTGTAGGGTTCAGGCAAGGTCTCTTCCAGCTCCATCTGGAGATGCTGTGGGTTGAACCAGGGACTTTCTGCATGCAAGGCAGGTGTTCTGCCACATGCTCTTCAACAATCCTCAGCCCTGTGACCCACCCCCATGGCGGAGCCACACCCTATTATAAAAGCAACCATGAAATCTGGCAGCCACATTAAAGGCTCACACATTTAGCAAGGGTTATAAGCCCTTGTGGCCAGTGCTCAGTTGCCATCAATATTTCCTCGCTGCTTATGTTAGGTCTCAGCAAGGGTTGGGCTCCAAGAAGCTTGGTTCTGGAAGAGCTAGCTGACATCCCAAGTGGGCAGTGGTATGCAACAGGCAGGGTGGAATAATTTTACAAAGCAGCAGCTGAGGATTTGGAGGTCCAGGTCAAGGCAGGGGAATCAGAGGCTAGGCAGCTCCTTCAGGCAAGAAATGAGTTACTACGTCTGAGGTGCATGCAAGCTTTATGGAGTCTGGCATACAGGGACTGGCCTTTCAATGTCAGTTGATGGGAAGTTCAGACAGGCTGGTACTGCAGTTGAATCCTGGAGCTCAGTGCTGCTGAGGTGGAAGGAAAGTTGTGGTACTGCTAGGAATTCCATGTTTGCTCCCCTGGATGTGGCTTACATCATTAGACTTGTGCCCAGTTATTGATGTTAATAAAAATGTTTGGAGGGGGAGAAACACCATGCACCCACTACCCCCAGTAGATACATTTTTGTACCCCAGTAGATGCACACAGTACTTGATTGGAAATCTGCACTGCAAAATTCAGAAAAATGCAAATTTTAAAGAATGAACCTAAGAGGAGCCTTGCTGGACCAGGCTGATGGCACATCTGCTCCAGGATCCTGTTCTCACAGTGGCCATCTAGATGTCTGCAGAACAGTTCCCAGCAACTGGTAGCTGGATTTTCATTTGTTAATTGTTTTAGAAAAGGCAAATTAGGTAAGTTTGCCTTTCAATGCAAACTGAATTGAATTCAACCCTCCCCCACACTCTCTACTGTTGCCAGGAAGAACGCATTGTTTGATAGACAATTGGGTTGACCTAACCTGGCAACATTCTTATGAGAAACAGATTAATTTCAACAGGAGCTTTCAAAGAGCATTGAAAAGAAAGGCACAGCATCGGAAAAGCACAGGTACCAGTAGACTAATTTCATTAGACAGGTAAAAAAAGAGAGGCTAAAATCGGTGGCAACTTCCTTATCTCTTCACTTGCTAACCACCCATCATGCTGCAGCACTGTTGCTCAGTCACACCACTTTGTCCTTTCCTGTCTACTCCTGGTGGACTGAAATTCATCCTGACTTGTGCAAGTGAGGCACAGAAGACGTTCCAACGCTTGTATCTGCCATACCATCATAGTCAAGCCTTTGGTGTGGAGCAAGGAAAGGATTTACAGCAGCATTCATTTACATTCTTATGTTCTGGTCTCTGCCAACATGGTGCCCTCCAGATGTTTTGGACCACAACTACCATCAGCCCCAGTCAGCCTTTGGTCCAAGGGGAAAGTTTTTAAAAAAGGTAACCTGTAGCCTTTCAGATGTTATATGACTCAAACTCCCAACAACCTTAGCCAGTGAAAACGCCCTGATCATAAACCACCTATCTTCAGTGTTAGCACTTAAAAAATGCAGACAGAGTCCAGAAAGAAAAGGAATGCTGACAATACTTTACTGCAGAAATGGAATGAAACATTCTATTATTTGAGGAGAAAGGAATAGAGAGATTGGAATAAAGAGGTGTGGGATATTAATGATAAATTAACATATGCTATTAAGGTAAGATGGGGTATATGCAGGAGAAACGATTTTGAGGCAATATGGAAGGTGTTTGTAGAATTTGTACTGTTAAAATGGAAAGGGGTCAAACCATCGCAAGAGGTGTTGAAATTTTGGGTGGTTGGATAGTTGCAATGGAATGGTCTTGGGGGTGGGGTGCACATTTTTATTCTTATTTATTTATTATTATTACTTTGTCAAAATAAAAAATAAAATTATATATAAAAACGAAAGGAATAGAGAGGCTTTGTCTTTCATACTTCAGGCCTTGTACACAGTAGGGAGATATTCAACCAAACATACAGAAGAAAAGCTCCCTCAGAACTAATCAGCAAATTAGAGCACATGCTACCGCAGCAAACATCAAGCCACACAGCCTGGTTGCCAAGCAATTCCTCTACCTGCCCCTCTTGAGTAGTTAAATTTAACACAAACTGAATTAACCCTTAGGCTGCACACAAAATGATTCCAATATGACAGCCACATGTTTGGGGATAGAATTTGTATTTAAAGGGGAAATCTTAAAGGGGACATTCAACTCAAAAGCCAGTTTTGGCAATTTCAGCTGAGTATCACCTGCTTCTTGGGAGAAAAGCAATGACAAACCTAGACAGCGTCTTAAAAAGCAGAGACATCACCTTGCCAACAAAGGTCCATATAGTTAAAGCCATGGTTTTCCCAATAGTGATGTACGGAAGTGAGAGCTGGACCATAAAGAAGGCTGATCGCCGAAGAATGGATGCTTTTGAATTCTGGTGCTGGAGGAGACTCTTGAGAGTCCCATGGACTGCAAGAAGATCAAACCTATCCATTCTTAAGGAAATCAGCCCTGAGTGCTCACTGGAAGGACAGATCCTGAAACCTAGGCTCCAATACTTTGGCCACCTCATAAGAAGAGAAGACTCCCTGGAAAAGACCCTGATGTTGGGAAAGATTGAGGGCACAAGGAGAAGGGGACAACAGAGGACGAGATGGTAGGACAGTGTTCTTGAAGCTACCAGCATGAGTTTGACCAAACTGCGGGAGGCAGTGGAAGACAGGAGTGCCTGGCGTGCTCTGGTCCATGGGGTCAGGAAGAGTCGGACACGACTAAACGACTAAACAACAACATCTTATAATCACAAACTGTAAAAGTGGCAGCGGGGGTTGGGGTTAGTTTTAAAGAACCCAGTGATGTTATTCCTGTCCCAGTTTTGTTTGAGTCCATTATGCACAATGCTTGTTTTTTAAAAATCAATTCCATTGCCAAAAGATATCAGAAAACGAGATCACCAATGCTTTTCCTGGATTTCTATGGTGTGAAAGCTTGATTGCATTTTGCCCTCTCAGGGCTCCATGAAACACAATAAGAAAACTGCATTTTAATTATCACCCCAGGATGAGATAGGTTGTCAAAAGGCAAGCATTTAAATTATTTGAAATCAAAAGGAGACTGAGTGCTAGCAGAATGCACGATGTGTCTTATCAGCCTTGTTAAAATCAAACAGTACAACACGCCCTATCTAGCTAAGGTTGCGAGACTCGGCAATTCAATTTTGGAGAGTGTGAAGCTATCAGATTTATGAATATGGATGAAACAGATGGCAGCAAGGACTTTGGGTGAGGGGAAGAAGCACATCAGTTGTTGATTAGCTTCAATGAACTGGAAGATTCCTTTGCTGAAGTCCCTCAGCCACCAGCCACACATTTGGAGGGGGAACGAACACAAAGCGTGCATTGAAGTGACCAGGAGCACCGGCTGCAATCACACTGTGCATGTGAAGCACATTTAAAGCACATCACACACACAAGAATCCTAGGAACTGTAATTTGTTGAGGTTTCTGGGAGTTGTTGCTCTGTGGGGAAAACTTTTATTTATTATTTTAGGGACTTTTGTCACCCATATGAATCTGTCTGAGCCTTAGATGGGCATCAGAGGCTCAACGTTAGCTGAAAGCCAATTGCTGGTTACTAAGTTCAGGGTCTTTTCAGTGCTGCCACTAAGTTTATAGAATTCTCTCTCCTCCTTCTCTCTTCCCATTCATATATGGCATTTTAAAGATGTTTTTATTCCAAAAGGTATTTTATGACTGGGCTGGCTCTTTTTAATCTGCTGTTTTTATCAGCTTTTTATAAGCCTTATGCTTTTAATTTCTCAATGCAATTTTATATTGCATTTGCTTGGGTTTTTTTTGGGGGGGGGTGTTAATGTCACATGCTTTGGAAAATTTATTTGAAAGGCAAGGTAGGAATTATTTAAGTAAATAAATTAAATGTCAAATAACCATGCTAGATTTATCAACAGCATTCTCACTTTTAAGATTCCTCATCTACTGCACGATGCATATATAAAGCAATAATGCAGTGAATATTTTACATATACATTATCTCTGTCTCTCCTTTTTCTTCTTCCTCCCGCCCCCCCCCCCCCCATTTACTGTTGGATTTTTCCTAGTTTATAAAGCAAAGCTTTAATACTCTTCCTGTTGATGGTGGAGTAATGTTAATCATACCAACTTCAGGGTGCTAAGGCTTCTCAATGGGGAATATTAAGCACTTGTTGAGGTTTCTATCGTTTTTTAGACGTGACAAACCAGACATGACTGATGGATTGATTACGGGGAAGAAAAACCTTTCTGCAGATCCTTGATTGGCCTGGAAAGAACAACACTCAAAAAGCAAAAGACTCACTGATGGGCTGATGGAAAAGCAAGCAAGGTTGATGAAAATAACCTTGAGAGTGAAATCCTAGGGAACATTTCACTGATTTTGCAAGAGCACTTTCTAAGGTACTCTGCCAAAAAATATATAATAGAGGCCTCTAACCCCACTAGTTCACTTCGCCCCTGCCAGTGAAGTGCACACTTAGATGATGACAGCTTAGAAACTGTTTTTGCATATAAAAGGTATATAAATTAATAAATAACAACACTTGACTATGGGCTATATTGTCTTTATTTTATTATGTTTATATCCTGCTTGTCTTCCACTGTGGTTCCCATATAGTTACCTATCCAGGCACTGACCAGACCCAGACCTGCTTTCAAGCAAGGTAGTAGCCCCATATGCCTTCAAACCACACTCTTAGACATAATGAAGTATCCTTTGAAAAAGGTTTTGGGCTTGTCCATATTCCTGCTTGCCCAACCTGCTGTTTACTGCTGAACTGGAACAAACAATCTTTTTTTCTGCAAGTGGACATTTGCTCCAATTCAGTGGTAAACAGTGCAATTTCCCAGAGAAAGTAGCAAAACTGCTCAGACTCATGCCTAGAAACCACAGGACAAGTGGAAAACCTTTTGGACCCGTGCAAAGGACAAGCAGAAGTATGGGTGAGCCTGTTGACTGGATCTCCATCAGCCCCTGTGCTACTCCAAGGCTATTCCTGAACTTTTGGTTCCTCTCTGAAGGTATTTTCAGTGCTGCTTATATATGTCTTTCGTTGCATGCACTGCATTTGTGATGGTAAAGCCTTTGATACTGACTGACAGAGAACTGGTGTGATGCCACAGAACATTTCATTGCTCAGGGAACAGAGCAGTTCACAGTCCAGCTTCTGTGGGGAAACTGAAAGTTGTCAGTTTGACAGCAATTAAACCCTTGTCTGGGCAGGTGGGAGATTGAGAAAAGTTTCTGGGACACAGGAGAGAGTTCTCATATTGCCTTGTTAACTTAGTATCCCCATATACTGGCCACACCACACAGTTCTGGTCAATTTGATGGGCTAGATTCTCCCCCCATTAAAAAAAAATCACTGGCACTTATAGATGCAAAGAGACTAACAGTGCAATCCAAACCAAGGATTTGACAGAATGGGGCAGTTTGGATTTGATAGTCTTTGGCTTGCCCAGCTAAGATGTGCCTAAGTTGGCATTAAGTCCCTCACTGTAGCTGAGTCTAAGATATGCTGACATATGTCCCTCACCCAGACAGGGCTCAGCCAGAAGAACTTACAATGGCAGAACCTATATTGGAATAAGTCTCCCAAAAAGGGTATTCTGGATTTGTAGGGTAGCATAGGAGGAGCAGGACAGAAACTGATGCCTATTCCACACATCTTTCCGCTTAGTCACATGACCTATTAACCCAGAGGAACTTAACCAAAAAAAAAAAAAAAAGGTGGTGTAAATCAAATTCTTCCCAATTCCTCTTGAACTGAGTTCGGAATAGGAGTACCTGAAGTTGGCTTTCTTTAGTTTGAATTGTTCAGTGAGTAACCAGTTCTTTGGCTTCAGGCTTTCAGTTGTGAAGGGACATTTTGGGTCTATTCATTGGGTATTTTGATCCCCGTTTATCTAAACCATGCATTCACCTGAGTGCTTTGCTATCCCTTTCAGCTCTTGTGGGATAACCTGGTTTCCTGGCTTCAGCTGACTCTCCTTATAAATTGGCACAGCACTGTTTATTAAATCTGCTCCATGGCATGCAAAATCCATTCCCTGGCTTAAAAATAGCACCAGGATCGTGTACACCTCAGTTCTTGTATACCATCTAATGCTTTCTAAAGCATTGTGGTTAGCTGTTGATGTCCTGTTTTTAGAAGTCTGCAAGCTATATGATCATTACTGTGCAAGCTGCGGACAGAGGCAAAAATAATAATAAATAAAAATCCAAGATGTAAGCCAGTGTTCTTTTCCGCAAGGTGACCATATTACACATGGAGCCTATATTTCTGGAAGGAGTTTTATGGCTGCTCATTAGCTCCCCAAGATTATCACAGGGGGCCTGTCAGAGGAAAATCCAACTTATGATTGGAAACCACAGCTTAAAAAAATAAATAAAACCTGCCTGTTATGTATTTTTGTTCTTAAGAATATGCCCAGGAAGAACAGGACATTGAGGGGGCGAGGGAAGAGGGAAAGACTTCTGCAGTTGAAAAGAGATCTATCAGCTGATAGATAGATAAAGAAAGAAAGATTGAAATATTATACCAGTCCTACAATACTTAAAACTGTTGATTTTAATTATTAAGAAGTGCCAATGGCCCATCTTGTCCAGCATCCTGTTCCCACCAGATGCTTGTGGAAAACCCATAAGCAGCAACACTCTGCCCTCCTGCAGTTTCCAGAAACTGGTACTCAGAAGCATTACTGCCTTCACCTGTTGAGGTAGAGCACAGCCATCATGGCTAGTCGCCATTGATAGCCATCTCCTTTATGAAGGATAACCCTCTGTTAAAGCCATGTAAATTGGTGACCTGTGGGAGCGAGTGCCATTGTTTAACTACGCTTCTCGCTGCCACAGACTCTCCCAGCTCACTAAGCCCTCCTGCCTCTTCAGTCTTCTCCCTGTTCTCCCTCTGACCACTCATTGTCATCCCACCACCAGTCCTCCCACCACTCCTCTGCATCCAACCAGTCCATGACAATAGCCATCCAAGTACGAAGCCTTTGCTACATCTTTTGGAAGCAAGTTCCATCGTTAAACTATGCTCTGCATCAGGAGTGGGAAAGCTTCTTCAGAATAGAGGTCGCATTCCCCTTCTGGGAAACCTTTTGGGAGCCACATACCACCAGTGGGTGGGGCCAGAAGCAAAAGTGGGTGGAGCAGTGGATGTAAACATCATCGTTGTTGTAGATTTATTACCTGTCCTTCAAAAGCTGATCCCAGGGCAGGCTACAACAATTTGAAATTCAGTATTTCAAATACTGGCAAGCAAGAGGGATCTTCAGAGTTCAAGGACACATTCCAGACAGAGAGAAACCCTCAAGGAGGATATAAAGCAGTTCTCATGTGGGGTGCATTTGTATTTATTATTCTATTTATATCTCACCTTTTCTCTACAGGGGGCAATAGTTCTCCCCATTTTATCCTCACAAGAACCTTGTGAAGGAGAGAGGTTAGGCTGGGGGAGGCACTGTGAATGGACTGCAAACTACACAAAAAAATGACCCTCAAACTAAGCCCTGTGTGGATGAAGCTTTCCCAAAGAGGAGCCAAGCTTCCTCACCAGTTGCAAAATGCAGCCCTTCCCTTGCCATCTTCCCCCAACCGCTCAGAAGTCTTTTATTTAAAAACAAATGGAAAGAAAAGGGGGGGGACAGCTCCTAATCCATGTGGATGGAAACCAGCTGCACCATTGTGAGACAGGAAGACAGAGAGGTAGATGGAGATAGTCCGAAGTGGAAAAAGCATTTCTGGGAACCAACTGAGCCAGCAGGGAAATGACAACCATGTGTCCACCTGGAACTGTTCTCTTAATGACAATTTCTACATCATGAACCCGGGAACAATTTATTAGCGAGTGAAGAAGAAAAATAGGGAAAGGGGGAATGCTTGATGCTATTCAACTCGTTCTTTTATTTTGCTATGGTGCTGTTTTTAAATATACTGTTGTGTTGGCATTATTTTAATAAGTATTTACTGTTTTTGCTTCTTTTCTGTGTGGGATGCCCTGGAAGTATGTGTCATAAAGGGTGGTATAAGAATTCACTAAATCTAGGGAAATCTAGCTGTGATTCCTGCATTGCCTGGGGTTGGGCTAGATGGCCCTTGGAGTACCTTCCAACTCTTCAGTTCTATGAAATACCGTATTTTTCGCTCTATAGGATGCACCTGACCATAGGACGCACCTTGTTTTAGCGGGGGAGAACAAGAAAAAAAAATCTCTCCCTCTCTGCTCAGCGCCCCTTCAGCGAAGCAGCAGGAGAAATGGAGTCCCTTCCATTTCTCCTGCCGCTTCACTGAAGGGGCGCTGCGCAGAGAGGGGGAGATTTTTTTTCTTGTTCTCCCCCTCTAAAACAAGGTGCGTTCTGTACGTTCAAGGTGTGTTCACCCAAAGCCGCCGGAGCGCAGCAGGAGTTCCCACTGCGCTCTGGAGGCTTCAGGCGGCTACCTTGGAAGCCTGGAGAGCAAGAGGGGTCACTGCGCACTGACCCCTCTCACTCTCCAGGCTTCAGTGAAGGCAACCTGAAGCCTCAGGAGTGCAGCGGGAGTTCCCGCTGGGCTCCGGAGGCTTTGGGTTCCTTTTGACATGCTCTTTGGGGCTGGGGGGGGGTGGAAGCGCTGCTTTCCCCCACCACCAGCCTCAAAGACCAGGTCGGGGAGCAGCACAAAGGCTGCACGCTCCGTTCCCACTGCCCCACGAGCTTGTGGGGCTGGCGGGGGGGGGGGAAGCGCTGCTTTCCCCCACTGCCAGCCTCAAAGACCAGGTCGGGGAGCAGTGCAAAGGCTGCGCGCCACCTTCCCGCTGCCCCCCAAGCTTGTGGCTATAGTGGTGCAGCTGGGGGAAAATGATGCGGCAACTACTGATTGCCTTGCATTGTGCACCACAATCCAAAGGGATTTGGAAGAATTGGCAGCCTTACTACCTTCAGTGAGAATAATTTGGTCTCACCTGCTGCAGTGGCGAACCTGGCGCGGCATTTCCTGCCCAGAGGCCGCTGAGAGGGCCAGGAAGCGCATAAACTCTGCTGTTTGCGGGAAGGTATTGGAGCTGGGTGGTTTGGTGATTTTGCACCCAGACATTAATTTTAAGGCTGAGGCCCTTTACCGGGCAGATGGAGTGCACCTCTCCGTTTTGGGGAATGATGTTTGGCTGGATGCAGTGGCTGCAAAATTGGGTACTTGGTTGGGGTTGTGAGTGGTTTGGCGGCGAGCGTAAGAGCTCATGTGGCGGTTAGGCATTGGTTATAAAAATTGGTGGAGGAGTGGTCAGGATAGGCTGTGTCTGCCCCTCCAATGGTGGTGTGGAAGGGAATTCCGTTAAAGGAATCTTGGGGCTTGCCACGATTTCGTGCAATCCCTGAAATGGGACCAGGGCTGGCAAGCCTTGGGGAGCTGGTTGGGTGAGCAGTGAGGGACTGTCGCTTAGCTCAACTGATCCCCAACATTGTTTTCCCTTCACTGGCTTCCGAGGGAGTTCGGAAAGTCAGTTCTGTCCCAGGCGGGGGGACAGATAGTCATAACCAATGCCTAAGCAACCACTCACAGATTATGTATTTTAATAAAGTTGTGGCCAAGATTATGCCAAAAACCTTAAACAAAAATTACGTGTGATTTGTGAATTATTTTGAGGGGTGGCTTGGGGACCTCAACACGCAAATGGACTACCAAAAATGTGTGAGGCAAACAGTGGAAGTCTTTTTAAAATATTTTAATTAAGATAGATAAGGATATGATGAAAATACATAATTGAACATAAATATAGATTGGAAATCGCTGTGTATAGTGAATACTTATCTACTTTCAAAATTCTCATTCTTGATCTTATTTCTTCATTTTCTTTATCTTCTTCTTATTCTTTTATTTTATATTTTACCTTTCATTTCTTTTCTTTATTGTGAATATTGTTTTGTAGAGGTGCAAATAATTGTAAATATGAGAAGAGGTAAAATGTTTTCTAATTTTTTATTGGTTACATGTATTTTCCTTTTTTTGTATATTTGTATTTTTTTCTAATCCGTAAAAGGGAAGCCTTTATGGAACACCTCCGTGACACTCAGCATCAAAGCGTGGAAGATGGCAGGCCTCTTCTCGAGATCTGGAAGGCATATGTGGCCTACTTGCCAAATCTGGAACAAAGTGGAAGGATCACTAAACTTCTGGTTGCAAAGCGTCTGGTACCTGGGAGAGATCAGGGATGAGCCTGTGACAGAAGGGGAGACCAGTGGACTCCAGTGGGAACAGAGCTGAGAGGAAAGCATTTGCCTTTTGTCTGCTTCTTTGGCTCATGTTAAAAGATACACTGGAGTGGAGAGGGAGGGAGGAAGAAGTGGTAGCAACCCTCCACATAGCTACCAATAGGGATGGGGGAGAAACTTGATTCAGATGGCATTTAAAAGCAAGCCTACTTAATCTGCACCTGCAGAAGGTTCAGGGCCGATATACAGCTTCGCTTCCAATCAGTGCATGTCTCATAACTTCCTGATTAAATCCAGTAGCTTTTCATATCTTAAATGCTCGTGGGCATCTTTTGCTTGCCACACCTGCGGGCTCTCTTCCGGCCAACGCTGCCAATGACAGATCTTAACAACTTGGGGTCGGTGAGATTCGGCAATTGCAGCACCTTGCGCCTGCTGGACCTCCTGAGCGGAGCGGGTTGTGTCTTGCTCCTCGTGAAGTAGGGTGAAATGTGAGGAGTGTTGCAAGCCGGTGCAGAGGCAGAAGGTCTGGCCGAGATGGTAGAGCACGGCTTCTCTGTCAATGGCTTCTTCCTAACCCAGTGGAACACCAGTATCATACGCCTCTTAGATGGGTTGGACATGCTGAAGAAGGTGCTGGAGGCCCAAAGACCAGGGTGACTTCAAAGCGGAGGACGCAGCAGGCAGTTCCCTATCAATGGTGCCAAATCCAAGCAAATGTTAGCTCCAGTCCTGTTAAATCGATCCAGCAATTATGAACGTTAAAGAAGGGATTAATTCCTCAGGCAGTAGGAAAAGACTTTCTGTGGCTTTTTCATAGATGGGAGCCCCCAACTACTGCCACTGTTGACAGCCTGTTGCCCCTTCACTCTGCTTGAATGGGTTATGTCACAATGGTTCCTTCATCAGGTGTTTGTGAGCATGAAAATGCTGTTGGGAGTTTCAGCAATGAAGGCTCAGGCATAACATACTGTTTGAAAGTCTGAACATTTCCTCTTTTTTTATTTAACAAAATTTATACAGCACTTTTATAATTTATATACAAATTATTAGGAGAGTAAGTTAAAAATATACTGTAGTTGATTCCCTTATAGGCTAGTTTACATACTTTATTCCTTCTTATACTTCTATCCCACCTTTCCTCCACAGAGCATACACACTTCAGCCTCCACCTTCTCCATGTTATCCTGACAGCAATATTGTGAGCTAGGGCCATAGCTCAGTGGTAGAACAACTGCTTAGCATGCAGAAGGCATCAGGTTCAGTCCCCAGCATCTCCTGGTGGGACTGGGAGCGCTCCCTCTGCGCTTCGGAGGCTTCGCGTTGCTATCGCTGAAGCCAAGGAGCCTGCATTCACTCCATAGGACACACACACATTTCCCCTTAATTTTGGAGGGGATAAAGTGCGTCCTATAGAGCGAAAAATACGGTAATTAAAATCCAGGGTTATGTGTACAGCCTAAGTGGGATTCCACGCCCCCTTAAGTCAGTTTCTCATGTTGATCTGCATATAGTGGGTATGTTTAACCTGGAAAAGAGGAGACAGAGGAGATATGGTAGGCATCAAATATCTTAAGAGCTGTTATATGGAAGATGAAGTGAGCTTGTTTTCTCCTGCTCTGGAGGGTAGTGTCCAGATCAAGGAAAGTAACAGTACCAATCTATTCTGCCTTGGTCATACCCCACCTGGAGTACTATGTCCAGTTCCAGGAACCTTTGAGGAGAACCCAGTTGACAAACAGTCTGGAAACCAAGCCTTATAAGGAACAGTTAAGGGACCTGGGTATGTTTAATATGGAGAACAGAAAACTGAAAGGGCTGTCACAAGGTCCGGATGATGGAGCAAACTTGCTTTCTGCTTCTCCAGAGGGAAGGACCTGGATCATAGGATCATACAACTGTAGAATTGTAAGGGACTCTGAGGATCATCTAGTAAAACTTCCTGCAATGCAGGAATATGCAGCTGCCCCATTCAGGGATCGAACCTGCAGCCTTGGCATCATCAGCACCACACTCTAAACAACTCAATGGATTCAAACTGTAGGAAACGAGATTCCAACCAAACATTAGGAAGAACTTTTTGATAGTAAGAGTTGTTTGACAGTGGAATGGACTCTCTCAGAAGGTGGTGGACTCTCCTTCATTGGAATTCTTTTTAACAGAGGTTGGATGGCCATCTGTCAGGGATTCTTTACTTGTGATTCCTGCATTGCAGGGGGTTGGACTAGATGACCCTTGGGGGTCCCCTTCCAACTCTACAGTTCTAGGATTCTGTGATTCTGTAAAGGAGCCATGATGTAAGAGGGGAGGTTAGAAGCACAGTCCCACTCCAAATCAGTTTCGGTAGCACACTATGTGTGAATAATGCCTGAGTATTGCTTAAATGCCCCTCAGATTCGGGTGAGGCTTCCAAGTAAGCAGGATTGCAGCCTCCCTCTCACAGGCTGAGCATCTGAAGAGCTTAAATGACAAAGGCTGATTCATGTAGCTAAGAGGAGACGCTAACCCGGCACCAAATTCTCATTTAAACTCCCTGCTGTGAAGAATGTGCTAGCTCTTGTTCCTTAGATTTTGCTTGCTCAAGGTCTCTAAGGGACAAGGGGATTACCAGAACATGGATAAATGTTGTGGAAGTGCTGTTGTAGCACAGCAATACATCCCGGAAGTGCCCACATGAGGATTCTTGCAATCCTTTTTAAAAAAAAAAATACCAAAGTTAAAATATACCAGCTAAAACATCAGAACAACAGAAGAGTCCTGCTCAATCAGGCAAGCGGCTCATCTAACCCAGCATCGCGTTCTCACAGTGGCCACCCAGATGCCCATGGGAAGCCTGCAAGCAGGACCTGAACACAACAGCCCTCTCCCCACATGGGATTCCCAGCAGCTGGTATTCTGAAGCATACTGCCTCCAAAGGTGGAGATGGAGCATAACCATCTGGATTAGCAGCCACTGACAGCCGAAACCACCATGAGTTCATCCAATCTTCTTTGAAAGCCATTCAAATCCTCTGCAGGTATGGTTGACTAGCATCCAACAGGTTTTTCCCCTAGTGTTTTTCAAGCCTTCCATGCCATATTGTCAAAGCTGGGTGGCCCTTCAGCTGGAATCAGGAGTCAAGCTTTATCTAGTAGTGAAAACCCAAGAAGCGCCTCCCCTGTTGATCTTAATATAGTAGGAAAGCAGATTCCACAGGTGAACTCTGGTGGAAGAGGAGCTGTGTAGGCAGGCAGACTAGCAAGCTTGAAACCTTCCAAGGGATGAGGGAGAAATTTGATTCATCTTGCATTTAAAACAACCCTAATTAGCACATTCTGAAACAGAAACACAGACCTCTTTTGAATTTTGCAGTTCTTTGAATTTTACGGTGCAGTGCTCCAGCAGATTCATACGTTCCATGTTCCTCTTTCAACAGATCTTCTGAAATCTTTCTCCCAGTTGGAAGCTGTCTTGGATTTGAATTGATCTTATGTATGTGGACTGGGAACTCCCAGAAGTGCAAGCTGGATTTCGAAGGGGCAGAGGAACCAGAGACCAAATTGCAAACATGTGCTGGATTATGGAGAAAGCTAGAGAGTCCAGAAAGATATCTACTTATGCTTCATTGACTATGCAAAAGCATTGGACTGTGTTGACCACAGCAAACTATGGCAAGTTCTTAAAGAAATGGGAGTGCCTGATCACCTCATCTGTCTCCTGAGAAATCTCTATGTGGGACAAGAAGCTACAGTTAGAACTGGATATGGAACAACTGATTGGTTCAAATTGGGAAAGGAGTACGACAAGGCTGTATATTGTCTCCCTGCTTAGTTAACTTATATGCAGAATTCATCATGCAAAAGGCTGGGCTGGATGAATCCCAAACTGGAATTAAGATTGCCGGAAGAAATATCAACAACCTCAGATATGCAGATGACACAACCTTGATGGCAGAAAGTGAGGAGGAATTAAAGAACCTTTTATTGAGGGTGAAGAGGAGAGCGCAAAATATGGTCTGAAGCTCAACATCAAAAAAACGAAGATCATGGCCACTGGTCCCATTACCTCCTGGCAAATAGAAGGGGAAGAAATGGAGGCAGTAAGAGATTTTACTTTCTTGGGCTCCATGATTACTGCAGATGGTGACAGCAGTCACGAAATTAAAAAGACGCCTGCTTCTTGGGAGAAAAGCAATGACAAACCTAGACAGCATCCTAAAAAGTAGAGACATCACCTTGCCAACAAAGGTCCGTATAGTAAAAGCTATGGTTTTCCCAGTAGTGATGTATGGAAGTGAGAGCTGGACCATAAAGAAGGCTGGGCCCATCACCTCCTGACAAACAGAAGGGGCACAAGGAGAAGGGGACGACAGAGGACGAGATGGTTGGACAGTGTTCTCGAAGCTACCAGCATGAGTCTGACCAAACTGTGGGAGGTAGTGGAAGACAGGAGTGCCTGGCGTGCTCTGGTCCATGGGGTCATGAAGAGTCGGACACGACTAAACAACTAAACAACAACAACAACATGTGGTGTTGTTGTTTTAAACTGTTTATATGCATAATAGATAACTGTTTTATATAGGTTATTATATTGTAAATTGGTTTTGGATGCCTTAATAAATGAAATGATGCTGCTGCTGCTGATGATGATGATGATGATGCATGTGCCACAGTAAATAATTATCCATAGAAACACATAAAGGTAAAGGTAAAGGACCCCTGACAGTTAAGTCTAGTCACGAACAACTCTGGGGTTGCGGTGTTCATCTTGCTTTACTGGCCAAGGGAGCCGGCATTTGTCCGCAGACAGTTTTTCCAGGTCATGTGACCAGCATGACTAAGCCACATCTGGCAAAACCAGAGCAGCGCACAGAAACGCTGTTTACCTTCCTGCCAGAACAGTACCTATTTATTTACTTGCATTTTGACGTGCTTTCGAACTGCTAGGTTGGAAGGAGCTGGGACCGAGCAACAGGAGCTCACCCCATTGCAGGGATTTGAACCACTGACCTTCCTATCAGCAAGCCCAAGGTCCAGTGGTTTAGACCACAGAGCCACCCCAATCCTAGGAACACATACATTACTGCAAATAAGAAAGTGTATTATTTTAGTAAAAATTGTATTGGAAAAAATGTGTACGCTAGAAAACATTTGAACTAAAATGCCCATGAATTGCCATGAGCACTAAAAACAAGGGGGGGGGGTTGAAAGCTGGTGTGGAAATGTGGGGAGCTGAATTTAAGAATTTTAAGAAAAATGAGAAACGGGGAATATTAGAAGAGCCTGCTGGATCAAGCCAATGGCCCACCTAGTCCAGCATTCTGTTCTCAGAGCAGCCAACCAACTGCCTTTGAGAATCCTGCAAGCTGGCCCAGAACACAAGAAAAACTGAAATTGACAGCCTTGGCTATCCCTGTGTCTTAGTCCGGCTGCACATTCTCCCCACCCTGCCTTCATTCCCTTACAGCAGCACAGTCCATCAGCATTCATGCTACAAACGCCTGCTAAAGCTTCAGTGTTTTTCTAGCAAAAAGATCCCCCACTAAATTCAATAAAATCAATAGCTCCCGGGAGTGATAGGTTACTGAGCCGATGACTCACACACTTAACGTCATAGTTGGCCCATGCAGCCTGTATGTTACAAATCCAAATGGCACAGCATTGAGAGTTCGATGAGCCAATAAAGAGGAAAGGTCTCTGCAGGGATCTTGTTACAAGAACAGTTGTTGTTAAGAACCTCAAAAGAAAAATTGCAGCCCTGTACGCACTCACACTAGGTTACCCTTCTGGTTAGGCTCAGGCAGGATATTTGTAAAGAAAGCAAGAGTTAGAGAGACAGTGTGTCTCCAGTGTGTTCTCATCCACAGGAAACCAAACCTGAGTGGCAATAGCCCTGGATGAAAAAAGTGTCCTGCTGGATCTGAAAAACTGCCAGTCAGTTTCAGGGTCCACTTCTACATATAGACCAGCCAGATATCTATTTGGAAGCCCACAAGGGGGACAAGAGGGCACAGCCCTCTCTCACTGTTTTTGCCCAGCAACTGGAAACTAGACGCATCTATCCAGATGGTGAAGGGCCATCACTCAGTGGTAGAGCACCTGCTTTGCATGCAGAAGGCCCCAGTTTCAATCCCTCGCATCTACAATGCCAAACTAGATGCTCTCACTCACTATAAAGCAGTTTTCCATTTTCTTATATTCCCATAGAAGAAGCACAGAGCAGGCCATATCCATCAAATCAAACTTATGTGGTAAATATAGCATTATAGTGACAACCTCTCGGGGGCACTAGCTTGGGCTTTGCGTATGGAGGTCCTGGGCTGCCCAGATGACAAGACCCTTCCTCCCAGCCTCACTGATGTGGTCCAAAGAAAAGCAGAGCAAGGTAGAAGTTGCCAGAAGGAGGTGTACAAGGTGCCATCCAACTATTTTAAGGACTCCACTCTGGAGTTGTGTAGGGTTCACGCCTTAGCTTTTTATTCTCTAAAAGATATCCCACAGGGCAGTGGAGGTTTGGGGGCAGAGTCTTCCTTCTCCTAGATGGGCTCCCTTCCCAGGTTAACAAGCCCCATCTGTCCCACACTTCCTTCTACTGCACGTGCAGAAACTGCCATTATTATTATTATTTTATTTTACTTTTATTTTATTATTTATACCCCGCCCATCTGGCTGGGTTTACCCAGCCACCATGGATGGCTTACAGGATATATAAAACCATAGTAAAATATCAAGCCTTAAAAAATTCCCAATACAGGGCTACAGATGTCTTCTAAAATTTGTATACAGTGGTACCTCGGGTTACATACACTTCAAGTTACAGACTCCGCTAACCCAGAAATAGTGCTTCACATTAAGAACTTTGCTTCAGGATAAGAACAGAAATCGGGCTCCAGCGGCGTGGCAGCAGCAGGAGGCCCCATTAGCTAAAGTGGTGCTTCAGGTTAAGAACAGTTTCAGGTTAAGAACAGACCTCTGGAACAAATTAAGTACTTAACCTGAGGTACCATTGTAGTTCTTTATCTCCTTGACATCTGGTGGGAGGGCGTGCCACAGGGCAGGCGCTACTACTGAGAAGGCCCTTTGCCTGGTTCCCTGTAACTTAGCCTCTCGCAGTGAGGGAACCGCCAGAAGGCTCTCGGCACTGGACCTCAATGTCCGGGCAGAACAATGGGGGTGGAGATGCTCCTTTAGGTATACTGGACTGAGGCCGTTTAGGGCTTTGAAGGTCAGCACCAACACCTTGAATTGTGCTTGGAAACATACTGGGTAGTAGTAGTAGTTGTTGTTTGGTGATGTGACATGTTGATCACCCAGAGGACAAGGCGAGGGCACAGACTGGAGAAGCTGAACCTTGTGGAAGTCTCCTTTGCAACCCTTAAAAAGAGCCAGATCCATCACCACATATAACACAATGAATTTTCATTAAAAACAACAGGAAGCCAAACCATTTGAAAACAAATGAAGAAGACTTTAGGTTAATGGGGATTAATGGCAACAAGTGTTATTAAGCATTAATCATTCCCCACTTACTGTCCAGGACAGCATTAAAGGCAGCTAATTCTTTCCCTGCTCCCCCCCCCCCCCCGCTATTTCACTTTGGTAAGTCAAATGCATAATCCACATTATACATTGTGAGACTCCTCCCTCTCCTCTTCCCAAGTCTTTGGTTCTAATTAGAACATGTAGGAAGAGGGATTGGCGAGTGCACATTTGATACAAGGGTGAATTAAGCTGTTTTTTGAGGGGTATCATTTTGTGACATTTGAATGTATTAATTATTCATGCACTCTTTGAGCCAGATTTTCCAAAACATCCTCTGCTCCAGTGCCAGGACCAGAATTTCACGATAATGCAAGCTTCTGTTTTGGGTGTTGAATAACTGGGCCATGAAAACATCGTCACAGATACTGCAGAGGGCTTTGGGAAAACAAATTGTGTTCCTAAGTGGACTGCACAGTCAGCCAGTGAGCTACAGAGACCAGTTCATGGTGTTGGTTTATAAAGACCTAAATGACCCAGGGTCCAAGTATCTGTAGGTAGGCCTGCAGATGTATACCAGATCAGACCACGGAGCCATCTAACTCTGTATTGTCTACTCTGACTGTCCGTAGCTCTACAGGGTTTCAGGCAGGATGCTCTACCACTCCTGGGTGGAGATGCTGGGGAGTGAACAGGGGGCCTTCTGCATGCATGCAAGGCAGATGTTCTACCACTGAACTATGGCTCTTACCTCAAAAGTTTTTTTAAAAATCTAGTCCTCATGGTTCTGAGTAAAGGGTTGGTTTAAAGTATAAATCAGTATAAAAATGAAAACAACAACAACATTGACTAACAACAGCTCTCCAGGGTTTCAGATGAGGAGTCTCGCCTAAGCCTCCTTGTAAATTCCAATGGGGATTGAACCTGGGACATTCTGCATGCAAAACAGATGCTCTGCCACTGAACTATTGCTCCTTCCCAACTGAGTGAGTAAGAACAAGCACAAAGTCCCTGAAAAAGAACTACAGTGGTACCTCAGGTTACATACGCTTCAGGTTACACACTCTGCTAACCCAGAAATAGTACCTCGGGTTAAGAACTTTGCTTCAGAAGGAACTTTAGAAGGATGTTGGATAGAAACTAAGAGGTTTTAGCTGTAATGCTTTAAGAGACATGAAAAAAAAGGTTAACAATTGGGTAAAAGATTAATGGTAAGGATTTGCTGAACCAACAAATTGAAGTGGAATACAAAGAAGGGAGGTATGAGGAGGTCCGGGGAAATAAGAGTAAGGAAGATAGGCTATGGAACATTATTGTGTTTTTAACTGTTTTATTTTGTATGTTTTTTTTTCTTATTTTTTACTGTTTTTGTTATATCTTAAAACTTTATACTTTTTCTTTATTCTGTACTTTCATGTATCTTTAATAAATATCATTTATTAAAAAAAAAAAAAGAACTTTGCTTCAGGATGAGAACAGAAATTGTGCTTTGGCAGCGCGGCGGCAGCAGGAGGCCCCATTACCTAAAGTGGTGCTTCAGGTTAAGAACAGTTTCAGGTTAAGAACGGACCTCCGGAACGAATTAAGTACTTAACCTGAGGTACCATTGTATGGGGGGGAGACACTGAGTGGGGAGTGAGTTAAGGGGGAGTGGGTTAAGGAAAGCTAATTAGAACTCAGCACCCCACAGCATCAGTAGCTTCACCCAAGAGGAAAATTCAACCCCCTCCCCCCGAAGATGGTTGTGTGTTGTTTCCATCAGCATCACTCCAAGTCACCTGTCCCATAGAGGTTGGGGTGGGGTAAACCGCTAAAGACTCTGAAACAAAAAGCCTATAAATGCTTTAGCAGTGACGTGAATCCACTAGGCTTCTCCAGCTTGCATATCCAATTCATTTTGCATGGGATTAATTCTTGCCAGAGCTGCTGCAGCTGTCTTGTTCGGCTACTGTATCCTTCTCAGGCAGAAGCTCATTAAGGAACGGCGTGTCATCACCCAGTGATGGGTGCTGTAGGTCACTGAAAATTTATACTCCCAGCTGCTCTGCTTCCTGCTTTGTCATTAAGGGCTCCTCTGGAGACAATCAAGTTTGTCAGTTAAGGTTCATATGAATACTCTGAATCCAAAGGATTTGGCATATTCCCCTCCCGCCCTTACACATATGATTCGTCAAACCAGGATCACAACTTTTTCTTTGGCAGTGAATTAACTGTGTGGCCTCCAGATCTCTCCTTCCCCTCTTTCCTTGGACTGAGTAAAACTCAGTGAGCCATAGAGAAGCCAAACGTGCACCTTCCCAAATAGCCACCATCTTGGCTCCTAGGATTGTCAAGTGAGTCCTTGTTGGTGATGGCACAACTGGGTGCTGCCTGGTTGTCATTGACCTGTTGTTGTTGTTGTTGTTGTTGTTGTTGTTGTTGTATTTCACCTTAAGATCCCAAGGCAGATTACAACAATTAAAACACAATGTATGAATGTAATAGTTGAAGTTTGACAGACTGTATCCCCTCAATACTCCCCAAGAGGCTGCATAAGCTCATTGCAGGAAAGCATGATGATCTTTTCTTTTCTTAATTAAATAGCAAATTTTGTAAAGATGAGGCAGAGAGCTCATCCAGACCTCTTCTTTAGACACAGGTCTGTACTTTGAAGTGCCATACCTAAGCACTTTCTTTCTCTTTTTGGTCCTGGTGCTTTCCTTGCAACCCCCCCCCCCCCCCCCGCTCTTTGCCACTGTATTGGAGCAATGAAAATATACGGAAAACCCAAATTGCCATTCATTCAGATTTAGCATTAAAAAGTGGGTTTTCAAGGGGAAAGCTCCCAGACAAAAACAAAAAACAAACCCCAAGCACTTGGACACAGAGCTTTAAAGTGTGGACCTGTGCCTAGAAAACATAGGGGGAAGTAATTGTGGATGAGCCCAGAATGTTAGACTTGGAGAGATAAACACACACTTTATTTGCAAACAGGGAATCCAACACTCCCTCCCCCAACTGCTCCCTGAATGGAAAGAGCACATCATTTGTATGCAGGGCATTGTTGATTAAATTTCTGACATTTCAGTTAAAAGAAAAGAAAAAAGAGGACCTGGTAGCCAGGGGCATAGGAAGGGCAGTGCAGGGGGTGCGGTCCACCCCGGGTGTCATTCTTGAGGCGGGTGACAAAATGGCACACCACCGGGGTCAGCACTTACTGTGGGGCCTGGCCTGCAGCGCACCCGAGGCACGTGTCTCTCCTGGGAATGACAAGGTGGCTCGGGGGCCCTCGCAGCCCGAAACAGCAGAGTGGGGCTTGCATCCACCAGGTGGACTCTGTAGGCAGCTCACCGCGCCACCCCCCTGGATGGATGACCACAGCGCCCCCGTGCAGTGCCCCCGTGGTGCCGGAGTAGCTAGCTACGCCCCTGCTGGTAGAAGGTGAAAGATTCCTATCTGAGACACTAGGGAGCTGCTGCTGGTCCAAAGACAATCCTGGTCTAGACTAGTGTTGCCCAAAAACCTGAGTTCATCGAACACTTGGTGAGCTTCTAAAGTTCTAAAATCAGCCTCAAACTCAGGGTCTTAGAAATGCAAATGGAATAACATCAAGTAATATCTGTATATGGTCAATATTTACTCATCATCACTCTCCACTGCCAGGAATCATAACATGTAAGAAGTAAGGAATACTGTAAGAAATATGTAAGAAATAAGGAATACAATAAGGAATATTGAAGAACTGCCTTATTATAAATATGGTGGTTCTTTATTGGCTAGGCAGGTGCACTCTGTACATGCCTATGCTCATAGTTCCTAAATAAAGTTTATGCACTATATCTCATAAGCCTTTTTTTCTGCACAGTCCCATTGACCCCAAGGGGTTAATAGCATCAGGCATGAAGAGGAAATTTTATTCTTTCCAGCCTGCTGTCCTGAGGGAAAACAGAAATTTGGGGTGCGGTATCCTTAATTAGTGCCTAAAAAGCCTTGTCTCATGTTCTGAGAGCCTGTTGACATGTGGCATTGAATGCATCTTTGCAGATGTCAAGGAATGGATGAGAATGCACAGGATGGTTGTTACGCAAAGAAGTGGTGCTTAACACACCCTGCTTGCAGACAACAGGCAAGTCATAAAAGGCAGAGGAACTCTTTCTGGGCCCTGCAAATATATGAATCAAGCTACTCAGCAGATTTACAGAAGTGGCACTAAGAAAAGAAACTGCTGGCCACAGTTGTTTATGAGCATGCTTAGGATGCTTTAAGCCACTGCTATGCAATATGCTTGCAAAATCTTCCTTTTTTTTTTCAAGAAAAGGAAAGCTTTAGCAACTGTTGGTGGAAGTAACATCATCAATCACATCATTAAAGTCTAATGACTCTGTGATGGCCTCAAAAGAATGTGCGGGGTGCATATGCAGGCATGATGTATTATACTTTGAAGGTAGCGTTTGATGCATTTCCAAACAGAATAATTTGTCTGCATCAGTGTTTGATGTCAGATGGGGCAAAAGCACTATCTCAGCACGAAGCAAAAGCTGTGCCATCTAACACTTTGCACCTCCTTGAAAGGAGGTGATAAATAAGGGGGGGAGGTAAAAAGTCCGCAGAAGTCCTTCTGGTCAGGTTAACTCCCTTCAAGTGTCCAAAGCTGACTGAGGTTCATGAGAGAGGCATCAGAAACGCTTGCGCTTAAGGCGTTTTTACCCCACCCTCCAGCCATGAAGACACAGAGTGCATGCACAGCATACAGTTCAAACCCATGACTTCCCCCAAAGAATCCTGAGAATTGTAGTTCGCCTCTCACAGAGGGACAACTCCCAGCACCCTCAGTAAAATATAGTTCCCAGATACTTTGCAAGAAGTGATGGGTTTTTAATGTGCTTTAATTGTATTGTGTGTGCCATACATAAACTGCCACAGCCTCTACTTCCCAGCACCCACAGGAGCACCATAAAGCTGTCTCCAGTGTTGCAGAAGCATGACTGGTTTCAGCTAGAATTTGGGCATTTCCCTTGACTAGTCCCATGCTGCAGAACACTTGAATTTTCAGGTGTCCCTCAAAGACCTTTTTATGCCAGCAGGCCTATTCAGTTGTTTAAACATTTTTCATTGTGAGTCAGCCATATTTATTTTGGATTTTTTTGTTTGTTTAAAAAGAGTTTTTAAGGTTTTATTATACTTGTCAGTTTTGTTGGATACTACCCTGATGTTGCATATGAGGGAGGGTTCTATAAATAGCTTGTATGCATAAAAAGGGCACTACCTTGCCCATATATTCCCCTTTCCTCCCCTGTGTGTGTGTGTGTGTGTGTGTGTGTGTGTGTGTGTGTGTAATGGAAGGGGAGTTGAAATCAGAAGAAATTGCACCATTCTCAGAAGGAGGGGCCATCCCCTGGTCTGATAATTTGAAAAATGGAAGTGTAAGCATTTGCATCTAGACACCGCTACATGCTGCAACATTATAAGCAACACCCCTTCCTAAGAAAGTGATACAGCCAGCAGGAGAAATAAGGAGAACCCTTTGGGATGTAGTACAAATTACTTCCTTCTTGTTCTCCATGTAGCATCAAGAAGCTTTGGGCACTGAAACATCTTGCAGCTGTCCAAGTAACAGAGAAAACAGCAGACATGGCACCATTTCTTGGACTTTTACCTGAGATAATAATGGTTTTCATCCCATTTTGTTACTCAGCAAAGCCATTAGCGTGAAGAGGGGTACCTCTGGTTTCCCTAGAGCGCATCCTTCCGCAAAATGGTTCCAAA